TATTTATTAAATCAGTGTAGTGCCCATATCCGAGATAAAAAAGTTAGGAATCGTATGAATGCTACATTGCTTCAACTAGTTATAGAATCGCTTCCTTTCTTCTGATAGGAGTGAAGAGTCAGGAGTATAGGAGTCTGATAGGAGAAGAGGAGTTATTCAAAGTAAGACCAGAGTGATGCCGAGTACCCACCTGCTATCCCATTCACAAATGGCCTCATTCGATAGCGAATAAGCCAGCAAAACCAAAAGTAATCGAGATATACAAACAAAGAAAGATATTATACCACCATTTAATGCACCTAAATAATTTCAGGTATCTGCCTACCATCTGTGGTTAGATTTATCTCATTCCCACTAGGATGAGACATTTTCGCTTTATTTGAGGAATTCAAAGGATAATTATAATTCAAAGTAAATCACTTGAGGAAAGTGGTAAAGATGGTTTCTTAGGACTCTTAGGACCATCGGATTTTCCAGCGACGAGGGTTTATAAGTTTTATTTCATTTGCTTAATTAGAAGTAGATTTTATTTTATGCTAACCGAGAAAACCGAGCCAGATAGCCACTCATTCAGTGCACCGCTGTGCTTAATTAAACTGATATGTTTGCAACATTCCTCTGGAAATTGATAAAAATGTTCAGTAGCATTATCAGCAAAACTCAGATTGTAAGTAATAATTTTAAAAATACACAAACAATAAAATGCTTGCCAAATAATAGAAAAACTATATTGTTTAGTTATTCTTTATTATTCATACGTTTTTAACGAATTTTTTTTTGCGATCAAATAAGATTCAAAATTTGATAAAATAGAGAATTTATAGAATTTCGAATTTTAATTCTCAAATTCCTCCAAAAATAATGAAAAAATTTTCCAAATGTCTGTCTCTCTTTTAATAATTTTTTTATATTTGATCAAAAAATTTGATAAATAATTTAATCTTTTTCTTGCATTTCTGATTTAGCTGGCTAAATTGGTTATAGGCATTCAAATAAGCTTTTCGTCACTAAGTAGTTACTTGGGAATAAGTCTGTGAAGCAACAGCAGCAACCTGAAAATCACTTTTAATGGCAAATTTAGTCCAGCCAAGCGAATAGAGATCAAAGCGATTGCCCATTATAAAAATAAGAGACTCAATCACCGGTGGAGCATCAAATAATAAAAATTAATATTTTAAATTATTATTAATTGCCAATTATTCATTTCTTGAAATTCAACTATTCAACTTTATAAAGAAAGAGGAGAGGAATAACGGATTTCGCAGCTAAAAATAAACCCGTCTTTTTAAAACAGTGCTAAACCCATCAGCATTTTCTATTTTTTATCCCAAGCGATTCTCTAGTAAAAATTTGTTAAGTCCAAGGAACCAGCGGAGCGAGCGAGCCTAACCAGATATATCACCGTTATGGAAAACAAATTCAATTTCATACTTTTTAACAATTTGATGAATTTTTCATGGACTTTTACGGTTAAATTGAGATCGCTTTCTTCAAAAAATACCTTAAAAGCAATTTTAGGACACACATGCAAAGGATATAATTTTTATCGACGATGCATGTTAAAATATTCGTCAACCGATGATCAACTGCAATGCCGATATGCGAGGTGTTCTGTTTGCGTTATGCGGAGTCGTAATCCGTATTGTCCATTTTGCTACACCAATAGTAGGTTTTTTAGTGGTATTTTGGTATAGTGGTATCATCGATATGCATATTATAGTCACGAAAAAGACCTTCAGAATCATAAAAAATACTTTAATGAAACATCGTCTCTATCAAGCAGATCGTATCACTTCGTAACGTCGCATTTCATAGTTTTTTTTTCTTTTGGTCTTAACCAGTCGATCATTTTAAAGAAAAGAAAATTCATCGCCTGAGGGTGAAAAATTTTATTATCATCTACGATTGCACATCGTAAATAATAATTAATCATAAAAATAATAAAAATCATCAAATATAATCATAAATTAATTTACGAAAAAGTTTTGGAGAATCGATCTACTGTCCAGCCGTAGAAGCTTGTTCATGTCCATGGAAAGCTGGCTTTGGGATTTGGCAGTCGTGTCGAACTAAAATATTCGACTTATGCATGGGTTAATCGGATTTTCCTTTTTTAAATAAAGATATCCAAATTATCCAAATAAGTTTCTTCTTCAAGAGAAATTACTAAGAAAAATTTTTAAAGCTTTGAAATTTAAATTGCTCGCCTAAAAATTACTTTCAAATGCCTAAAAACTTCTTCTAAAAAAAATTGTTTCAAAAATCTTAAACTATTAAATTATAAGAAAAATAGGTTAACTGATAAGTGTGATAAGTATTACGGCAGATAAGTTAAATGACGAATATGCGAAATTGTTTATTGATAGAAAAATTGCTGCGATAAATTCTTTATTTTGCAAATTTGCGCTTATAAATTGCAGAAACAAATCTGACAAGGTTGCGAAGAAAAATAAAACGAAGACGTAAGAAAAAACATCTCTTAGTGAAAAAAGCAGCATCGATGACGATTAGAAGAACTGACGATGGTTTTCAGGATCGCGGAATTAAACCCGTAAACCTGTTAAACCCGCCATACGTTGACACATAAAGTACAGCTATTTATGATATAACTTTGGCTAATTTTATGAATCTATTGTACAGAACGAAATAAGAAAACTTTTCATGTAAATTTCAGAGTTATTTTGAGAAATTATTTATTTGGTAGAATAATTAATAACAATTTTCTTTTAATTGTTTTCTCATTTTGAATAAAATAAATACAAAAAAATTTCAACCATAAGCTTTTATTCTTTAAAAATATTGTAAATAAGGATGAAAAATAGCGAAAGAGAATCATTTCCTTTCTTTCTTCTTAGCATTACCTGTTTCATTCTCGGTTCGGCTGGTTCCACTGGCAATTATGATGAAAGTCATGCATTCTTAAGACTTAAAAATATAATTATAATTAAAAGTATAATTAAAGTATAAAAATTTAATTATAATTATAAAAGTATAATTAAAACTATAATTAATTAAGCATAATTAAAAGTAATTAAAAGTATAATAAACTACCTTAATGAAATGCTTCGAACTGTTTTGCAAAAAAGTTATTATTAAAAAGTTATTAAAAGTTATTAATTATAAATTATTATTCTGATTTCTCCAAGTAAAGAAAAATAATCTAAAAATATTTTTTAAAATAAAAAACGACAAAAATAATGGAATTAATGGAATTTTTAAAAAAAAGATAAAAAAGACATTTTAAACTTTAATAGCAATAAAGAGTATAACTATCTGAAATAGTTTAAACCGTTTTGCAATATTTGGTCCGTCGATGCCTTGGTCTCATCGCACCTGGTCCACCGATAACTTGGTCTACTGACATCTAAACTGATTATTCGGTCCGTTAATATCTAGTTTACTGATAACTTGGTCTATTGATATCTAGTTTACTGATATAACTTGCGTATCGACAACTATTCTTTAAAAATTGACTTCTGTAATAAGTCTGCATTTAATAATATATGTTAATATATTTCTAGATAACTTTTAAAAATGAAGTATCGTACGTGTCCTAAATGATTTGTACTTCATTAAAAGAATAGTTGTCGGTACGCAAGTTCCACGCTGATACAAATGGAACGATGCCTATTTGAATAAAATAGAAACCGGCGTTTAATAAGTTTCCGAATGCCGACGCCGGAATTTCTATTCTCTGCAGGAATAAAGCTTTGAAGCTTTGAACCTTTGAAAAATCCAGGTGCCGATGGTGACAGCTTAGCTTATCCGTTCTTTTATTATCACTTCCCGGTGAAATCTATTTGGTGCGATGAAGCTGAATAGCTGAATACCATAAACCAATGTATCGCAGTCAAACTACTTATTTGAAACTACTTACTAATAGTTATACGGCAAAATGTACTGCCATCACCTATAGGCAAAACCAAACTGTTGATAACATTAGATGAACCGTCTTGTAAACATTCGTTCTATCTGTAATATTACTGATAATAATAAGTATAATAATTAATGGCACAGAAAGATTTACGGCTTTAAACGCCACGATTACCGAGCTTATCACCATTTGCGTGGTGCTGAGGACCCATATGCACCTCCAACCTCTAGTGACTCTCTGGCTAAAAATTTCTCACTAACATCCAGATGCATCCACGTGAATCACCAATACCACTAATACCACTTCCATGGACCACCACATATTTCGAACCAGAATTCATGCTAAAGGCTTCGAACAAGTGAAGCTCGTTAAGCTCACTTGCAGTAGGTGGTATGTAGACTTCTGCAGAGGCCAGGAAAGCTGGATGCCAGTTGCTTCAGTTGAAACTAACCGGAATGAATCCGAAAAGAGTGAAACCTGGTTAGCCTTGATGGCAACCCCCCCACCACCTTTCCCAACTGATTCTCAATAACTATTCGAGCGAAAGTGGTAAGAACTAAGAAGCTGAATTTCGAATTCACGGTCGCGGCCTGCTATTTCCCTACTATTTTGCGGCTAAGTTTTTATTGTTGGTTATAAATTGAAAAATCTTATCTTTTTGAATTATTTCTTGGATAATGGTAGGTGGGTTATGGTACTTCGATGGGTGGTTTCTTTCCTTTTTTTGTTACGCATAAGTGGTCTTGGTGACAAAATCGTTGATTATCTGGTCCACAGCGCTAATGAGAAGTGCATTTCTAAACTACTTTTTTCTTTAGTTTCCTTTTTTTCCAGAAATTTCCCTGTTATATGATGTTATTTGTTATAATATTTATTATATAATGTATTATAAAATTTTTATTATAAAATTAAAATTAATTTTTCTATTCCGTTGCTACCCTTCATCAGTAATATATTTCAGGAAACCGTCAAGCTTTACTAACTTTTCATATTGTAATAGCTACCGAAAGTATTTTCTTTGTAAAATCACGTTTCACATTTTATGGCTTTGTGATCACTTATATTTTCTTTATTTTATTTATATCTACTATTTCACGTCTCTCACGTATGAATTCCACGTAGAAAAATGCGAAAGAATCTTTTTATCTCATGTCGATTTCTTATGAGTCAAGTTTTTCGGCGGTTCGTCACTCTCAATCGATACCATTTTGTTGCAAAAAATAATTATGTTAGTTGATATTTTAAAATGTATTTATTATTTTTTATTTATTTTTTCGTACTTCACCTGTGATATTTTGCATTTTATCATTATATTTTTATTTATTTTTATTCATATTTTCTTTTTTATTATGTAAATTTAGTATCATTTAATATATAATATACATATATATATATATATATTAATGACAATTTAATGTCTTTGTTTTGCCAATTCAATTTTATTTTAAGTCAGTAAAATTTGCTAATATCCATATATCAGTCATTATCAGCCATTATCACTTTTTCTTATTAGCTTATTGCTATTATAAATTTTAAATATAATATTATTTTTTAATATTTAATAATATTTTAAATAAAATATAATATGAATTATGTAACTTTAGGTATCAAAAGGATGCTCGAATAAATCAAGTAATCCAGTAAGAAATTTTTTTATTAAGATTGACGAGAAGGTTTAAATATTTAATTTTAATGAAGTTATCTAAGATTTAGTATATTAATATTATTTAAAATACTTTTGTGTTAAATTTCTGAAAAATAGTTTTTAAGCGTTTTTGTAAACTTTGAAAAATTTTTAAAAAATTTTTTGTGAAGATATGCTGAATTTCTCAAACAAGTGATAATTTCTTTTTTTTTTGCAGTCAACAAATTTGAACGTTGATTTACCTTCTTGTTTGATACCATCAATGAAGTTCATAAATAATCTGAAAAGTGATGAGCAATTGGATAAATTAGCAAAATTATTAGCGGAATTGGAAATATTCTCAATGATTAATGAAAAGCTGCCGTGTGAATTAAGTGATGAACAATGGGAAATCTATCTTCATATCGAGAAAACTCAGGATCGAAAGCAATTTCTTAATGCAGCGCACTTTGAAGAAATTCTTACAAAGGAGTCGGAAACTTCTAATGCTATGAGGACTGAGGTTTTTTCTCATTTTTATCGTTTTAAAATTATCAGATTTATCAGATTTTTTTCTGATGTTTTCCATTATAATAAGGGGATTAAGTATTTGAGTGATTGTCGAGTGTAAAAATGTCGGGTAAAGATAACATTGAAGAAAGATTGGAATTAGTTTATGATTTCAGTTAGAAAATTAAAACTTCCAGAATTTTGCAATTCCCAATTGTATCAATTATTGTTTTATTGTTTGGTAGGGATTCGAAACAAGAACAATTGAATTCAGAGCATTAAAAGATATAGAAGCTTCTTACCGAGTTGGTACCATTTGAAATTTGGAACTTAGAAAATCTATAGAAACACGTCTTCTTTTAGGTATTCTTAAATCTACATCGTTTCAGCTATAAAATATTGAAAAAAGGATATTTTGAATATAAATCGAATTAAATCCCAAAATTGTAATAAAATTAATTATTAATTAACTTAAATCGAAGTTAATTTATCCATTTTTCTCTCTAATTTATTTAATTTATAGCGAGATCTCATTTGTGAGAATGGACATATGGCTTATTCGCCTGAACATCACTGTTTGCTCAGATTAATTGGCTCTGATTTGAGAAGTATTATTTAAAAATTATTGTTCTGTTGTTTTATTTAAAATTTATTCGAAGATTTGTAATTTTTAATATTTACATTGAATAATTGTTTCCAAACACTTTGCAGTTCGTTACCAATAGAAATTATGGTAAAATTTCTTTCATACATATGCAATACGTAAAAAAAATTTTGTGGGTGGTATAAGTTGTCGTTTCGCACTCGTGGGTGGTATGGGTTATCAACCTTGGTGCATAGAAGCTTGAGGGTTCTTCTGTCTTGCTCCTAGCAGTGCGCTTTTCTAGGCAAAGATCTCTGGTGTTCTTGGTAGAGCCATTTTTCTAGTTTAGAGATCGTAACCTTTAATGTTCCATTCCACTGAGACTATTTTGGCTTTTATTTTCCACATCTTCTTTAGTTTTTCTTTCAACCTCTAGTGTTTCTCTATCTTCTCATATTCCCCTTCCTTCCACTTGGTATTGCTATATTTATCACCAGTTCAGATTTCTGATTCTTATCATCTATCACATTGTCCGGTTGATTGACCAGTATCTGTTTGGAGTATTTCCGTAGGATTAACCTTATTATTTTCCATGGTTTTCTTGGAAATTTTCCATCTGATCTTGGAAGATATTCTTTTAGGTAATCTCAGTCAGTGGTACAGTTTTGCCATGGTACCTCCTGGCCATGGCATTATTTCCAGTGTAGGTATTTTCTTAGCAGCTGATCTTTTGGTATTATTTTCTATTCCTAATTGCTTATTCCCGTGAATGCTTCAGATTTTATTCAAGACAATGGTTTTGAGATTTACCAAGCATTATCTACTTTATTTCTAGATAGCCTTTGGGTGTTAAACTTTGGAGTAGAAATTTTTGTGCATTATGAGGAGTTTCAGGGTCTTCACATTAGCAGCTTCCATGTCTTCCTTTGTCTTAATACCTGCATATCTAATGATTGACAAGGCATATTTATTTATGGCATGAATTTTTTCTTTCCATTGAGTTTTCAGGGTTTATCTTATTCCTTGGTGATGCTCAGATGTTATAATTTTCTTTACCTCATCACGGTTGCCATGTGACTTTGGGATACTAAGGTACTTATAGCTTTTCTTTATGTCTGCTGTCTCTGTCATGATGGCAACCGCGGTCTACTCTGTCAATTAACTACTTTCTCTTTACTACCACCAGATTTCTCCAGTCCGAATGATCTCACAATATCCTCATTGTAGGTTCGTGTTAGGTGAATGAGCAGGTCAATGACTGGTGGTCCATTCTCTGGGATATTACTTGTTCTCAGATTCTCCTTTTCATTTTGGATATTCTTTTTCTCCCATAGATTCCAATATTATTCGCTTTCTATTTCTGTTGTTCAGATTCTGTTTTTGGTCTCTGCTTCTGTTTATATTTCTCTATGGACTAATGGCGAGTGCTGTGAGCCTTTCTTTATCAATCTTTAGGATTTTCCGAGGCCTAATTCTAATTTAATCCTCAAGCTTTTCTATAGTTCTGCTTATTAACTAAATTTTCCAATCTTGTTTTCCAAAGGTGATATATATTATTATTCGTCTTGATTCTGTATGCAAACATTTCAAGAATTACATCTGCATCAATTCATTTGTTTCTGTTATAGTGGTAGCAGAAACTGCTCTTTTCACATCTCCAAGTATATTGTCTTACAATTTTTCATTAAGTCTCGATAGTTGGTAATCTCGAGGATTAATATAGTGAGTTTATTCATGATTTTTGCTCATGTCAATTAATCTACTTTGTAATGATTTATTTATGTTTGATTTCTAGCTTTCCAGGTTATTGAGTGCATATCCCATTTTTTCAGATTTTGGCTGTGTACCTAGGATATAGCACAGAATTGAATTGGTCTCTCTCCAGTTGAGAAAGCAGTTTCCTTTTTTCCGTATTGAAACGTTGAACAACTACATATTTCTCAGTTAGTATGGATACAAGTCTCTTGTCTACTTACATTTCCTTCATATGCTTCATATATCCCCTTTCATTAGATCTACGGCTATAGCTCCATCAATTCCAGATTATCTTGCCTTGTCCATTTAAGATTTGTCTTAATAGCCCTTTTAACGCTAAGCTGCAGTGGTTTCACTGCACTTGGCACAGTTTCGATAACCACACTTATCATTAAATGATCTTGTTTTTTAATCCAGCAACGTCCAAATTGGCACCTTTTTGATGTGCGACACTCTAATATTTGAACAGGTTAAATAAGCTTACAAGGAATCTTTGCCGGAAGGTCCTCAGAAAGACGATTAGTTGTGATTTGAACTCTTCTTGCATTCCTTATTAATCGCGTGCCTTAACTAAGATGGCTCCAGAAGATGAGTTATTGAGAAAATACGTCGAGAGATAGATTAAGGCAAATGCTATGGCAAAATCACACTATGAGAATTACCATCGACAGATAACTAAGGTTACTAACGTTGAGAAATCTTAACAGTTGGAAAAAACAGGTCTAAAAGGCAGCACTAAGGTATTGATTATAGCATAAGAACGGGAACTATGCACTTGGTTCATCGAAGTAGTGAACTAGACAGGGTTCAAGCTGCAAATTAAACAAAAGGTATAACCAATTATCTGATATTATCTACAGGAATATCTGGCCAATATATGGCTTAGATTCTCCCAAGATGACTAAATGACAAATTTTCTGGAATATCATGGAAAATAATCAGACAATTCTCCATCAACCAAATATCATGGTAATAGATAAAAATCAAAAATCACCACTAGTGATAGTCATAGCAATACCAACTGACGGGAATATTAGGAAGAAGAAATATGATAAAGATAGAGAAATACCGGAGGCTAGAAAGGGAATTAGAGAAGAAAACTGAAACTAAAGGCCAAAGTAGCCCCAGTGGTAGTAGAAGCATTAGGTGCCATGATTATTTCTAAGCCAGAAAAGCGGCTTCAGCAGATTCCAAGGATTTCAGAAATCTCTGCCAAGAACGTACTGCTAGAAACAGTTAAGACATTACGTAGAACGCTTTTTCTTCTAGGACTCGTGGTTGAGGATGATCCTTACCATCCACAGTATTCAGAAAGGAATTTTTTGTAAAATCTCTTTTATTCTGTTGAGGTTCTATCTAAATATCTATTGAACCAGTTCGAAATTATTTGTTCTGTTTTTTCATGATGAGCAGAGTGCATTTTTTAGCATTTTTTTTAGAGTGCATTGATAATTCATATGGAAGTCGAATTTTGGCTGCAAAGCGTTGTGATGAAGGACCGTTACGTCTTTTTATTGATATGCGATGTTTACATAAAATGCCGTTATTCTACCAAATTAATCTATTACGGTTATTCCCCCATATTTCTTATGTCGCAAAATTTTTCTATAGATTTAGAGAATTCAATTTCTTAGAAGATTTTCAATTATCCATTTCCACACATTTTTGCTCGATTACTTCGCTTTATTAAAAATATTATTTGCATAATTTTCCTTCATCCTGAAAATTAAATCGGGCTATGTCGATAGTAACTCCATGTTCGGCCGAAAATCAGAAATCAGAATCTTAGGATGAGGGTTTAAAATTCTGTTTAAAATTCTGTTAAATATCTTTTTATATCTTATCCGACACATATTTTCTGCAGATCTTTTAGTTTAATGTTAGTTTAATTGCTGAATGAATGTTTTTGAATATTCGAGGGAATTAAATGGCAATTCTTTTTTTTGGATATTTTCATATCTAAATTATTCATTTTGAAGACAGGTTCAAAGTATCCATAGAGACAATTGGTCCAGTCGTCATCCTTTCGAAATTGCAGTTGTTAATTTTCGAGCAAATGATCATGATGCTGCAGTCATAAAATCGTAAATAGCATTTTATTTCTCTTTATCACTTTGCCGCTTTGAATATAAAGTAAATTTGAGGAATATAATGCTTTTAATATTTTTATTCACAACTATTAAATCCATTTATATCTTAATTTAATTTAAAGGAATTTGTAAATAATTATTTTTGAATTTAAAACCAGTCGCATTTAGTGATTGGAAATTTCTTGTTGGTCCGAAAGGCAATGAGGAACAAGATATCGTTGATATACAAGATGCTCTTGATTCAAGCGACTTCAGTAAAACTATTCGATCGTATATTCCACATCCTTTTATTCCCACAATATCGACAAGGTCGGTTCGCGAGAACTTAAATGGTCTTGCACCAGGTTAACTGATTTTTTTAAAAGGATTCTTATATCAATTCTTTTAATTTAAATACCAATTCTTTCTTTGAGAATAAAAAGTTTAATAAAATGATAAAAACTGAATCAAATTTTATTATTTTCATTAAGTTGCATTTAGATGATATTGCCTATATAAGCTGGGATGCAACTCAATTCTTGGAAAGACCTTTAAATCGCTACAAAGGTTTTGTTTTATGTGCAACCCATGAAAAATATGCAGCAGCGTCGTCATTGTATTGTGCCAGGCGTGAGGGCATGAACGCATTTCGACCTCCTTTTCATAGACATATCAGGTTATTCACATTAGCTATGTTCAAAAAATAGGCTGCGAAATTTGTTAAAAGACAAGGCATCATCAAATATTTACAGGTGGAGTGTAGTTAGGAGAGGTGCAATGGATATAGTAGCTAATATTCTGCGAATGGTGTATCATGATGATGTGGACTGGGACATCGCTTTGAATACAATTCCATCCTCGTTTTTCGAACATAAGGTTTATAAAGCCAAAGAAGAAGAAAAAACGAAACGGCGGTTACAGCTAGAGGTTTTACATTTAATTAATATAAACATAGATTAATTTCAGAAAAGAAAATTTGATCATTATATGATTGTTAATAAAGTTTTAGACATTACAAGAAGCTGGAGCGCTATATGATCGTCGATTAATTGATATCTCATCGATACGAAATAATCGACAGCGTCGGCAAGGACGAAAGAAAATGCATAAATATAGTCGCGAAGAAAGAAATATGGCGAGAGCGAATGTAGCAAAAATTTGTTATAATGAGTAAATTTTTAACATTCTTGACATTAAATGATTTTTTTTTTAATTTGATACCTTTGTTGTTAAATGTGACTTTTCGAAATAATTACATGGTAAAAATAAAATAAACTTAGTACCAATAGACCAATAGCTACTTTTGAAACATTCTTTCTTTTGTAACATAATGAAATCAACACAAATATAAAGTTTCAATTTTATACACCTAATCATATGGTTTTGAAAACTACAGGACTAGGGATTTATCTATATTCAATCATTTGACATTAAAGGCAAATCTGGTAGAAAATTTTATGACCCGTATTATGATGGCAAAACTAAAAAAAAAAACAGAAAAATTTTCATAAAAAAATTGTTGCGGAATTAATGTAACAGTTTATTATTTACTATACATTTAGCGAATAGGTGATCTAATCTACTTTCGTATAAAAGATAATACATGTCACAATCTGGCAAATATTGTGGCATGTAGTTTATTTGATCTGAACGTAGAATGAAGAAGAGGAATTGAGACGACAAAAATAAGAATCATTCAAGAAAATAATAGATAATAATACCTACGAAGTAAAAGATTTCTACAGATTTCAACTAGACCAGTGTAACATTCATTAGTTCTCGAGCAAGCATGATCAATTTATCACTGTGGCAATATCTTTCATGAAAAAAGAAATAAAGCAGATCGCAACTACAGCAGCTAATGTTTAAAGCTGTATTATATATCATATATCATATTATATCATATCAGTTATCATGTATATGAGTAAAATTCTTTTAGGCGAGGAGTTACTAAAATTTTTTATAAAAATAAAAACTACAAACTATCATATGGCTTTTCACTGCTTTTCGGTTGGTTTTCTTTTGTTTCAGTTACAAGAACTGTGCCGGCTTTTGACGGTTGAAGCGTTCCTATTTTTTCCACCACTTGTTGAACCATTGTTTTTAACATTTTCTTCTGGTAAGGAATTGTCTAAAACAATCGTCCACAAGAAAAAATATTAAATAAATGGAAGAGATGTAATTCCATAAACAAAACTGAAGATCTTGTTACTAATCGATGTTGACTTGATATAGAATTGTAATTTATTATCATTTATCATCTTTAAAGAAATCATAAATAATTATTTAGTAGTCAAATAAAAAGGAACATAGATATTTTTATAAATATGCGAAAACCAGTGAAGAGACTCATTCTACGGACGCCAGAACCCCCTTTAAGCCAATCCTCGAATTGCTCTCAAAACTCGTTATTTCGTTCATGAAAGACGCGAGGTGCCACTATAGTATTTTCACATATTTTCACATCCCAATATTTTCTCTATCCTCATTATTTCTTGTCTGCTAGTCCCCGTTATGTATTTAATGTTTCCAACCTCCTTCATTTAAAATTTTAAGAGGCCGCAGAAGTGCAACGTGAAGTTCGGTGGGATGGTGCATGAATACAACGAAACTATGGAGGATTTTAAAAAAATGTAATGGGTCTTAAAAGGATCTTCAATCGCACGAAATCTATCAGGTTTTACAGATGATACCAAAAAATTTTAACCGACTATAACGAGTGAAGATTCTATAGTGTTAACTATATTTGTATCGAAAACACAAATACATAGCAAAATAGCAAGTTATTGAGCAGATATTTTATAAAAAATAATTAAATAAAATTTATTTATTTGCAGGTTCACATTTTTTTTCTAATCGAACATTTAAATAAAAAATTATATGCAACATCTTATTATACATTCATCTACTTTCAATATTTTTTATTTTTTAAGGGTAAATAAATGTCCGATTAGAAAAAAACTATGAACATGCAAATAAATCTGGTCCTCATTTAATATTAAAAATTTTAAATTTACTTACCCTTTGTGTGATAAGCCTATAAACAAGTCCATCTTTATCGACGAAAAATATTGAATAACCTTCTAACCATTCTAACTGCAAATTTTATACAAATCCAGAAAGTATAAAATTTAAAATAAAGAAGAAATCGGTAAAAAATATTATTTATCTACCTTATCCTTCCGATATTTTGCACTGAAAAGTTTCGGATTCATCGCAATTTTTAACCAGGATAAATATTTTACACGCCACATTAATCTCACTGTACCCTCATTTGGCACTGGAACAATACTCAAGGACTGAAAATTCTTAATTTCAATATTTCGCAGCAAAAAATTTATACGCTAATCGATGAAATAAAAATAAATACCTCCATTTCAATGTGAGGATATAAGAACTGCCCAACTGTACTGATGAAACCCATTTGATAGGTGAAATTTTCCAATCCTCTAAATTTAATAATTGGAAAAAATTGCAGCTGGAATGGAAGGCGAACTATTTTTAAATATAATTTGAAACTGAACTGGAACAATAATTCAAACTTAAAATTTATCTATGATACACGACAATTTAAACAGTAGCAGCAAAAAGATTCATTTCTGTACGTTTTGAGTCGTCAAATTCTTAATAAAAAATAAATATAAATGAATAAAATGAATAAAAATATAAATAAATAGATAAAAATGCAATATATTAAATGCTTGAAAAACTGGTGTCATTCAAGAAATAAAACATGAAAAGAATAAAGGAAGAATAAAGGTTTAAAAAACAATAATCTGAAAATAAAGAATCAAAAAAAAAAGCAAAAAATAAAGAAACCTTGTCACGTACGATATAAATAAATGATTCTCATATATTAGATCCTTCGTGTAAAAGGTATAATCGAGACGTTCTCGGAACATCAGTGGCACCTCAAATGCGCATGATGCATATGAATTCTTCAAATCACTATCCAAATATCCAAATTATTATAAATGAAAAATAAAGCAGAAATTAAGAAAAACATAATAACCGTGAATTCTATCCGCTTTCGCACATGCTCTAAATGAAAAGACTGCGGCCCATCGAAATCTGCAGATTTCGTATTCGAATTCAAGTGCCTCAAGATAATTTTAGATGAAGATGGACCAATCACAGAAATTGTCATCTGCAACAGTCGTCGTGATATCAACATTATTTTATCTGAAAACAAGCTTCCGCTGCCTTTCACACTTTACTGGATCTTACAAAAGCAAAAAAATTCTCAATCAAAACCGAGTAAAATGCACTGGAATGCTTTGGTGATTAACTAATTACATCCTAATAAATTCTATTTTCTAAAAAATATTAAAACAAATATTTGCACGGTACTCCGTGTGGCTTCTGCTGAACCATAAATACTATCTTCGTGTAACTCTCATATGACTGGAAAAGTCCAATGCTAGTGACCCATTATTCCATTATTTCACCTGACTTGAGGTGAATTTTGGTTTACACCAAACCACTGGAACCAGATAAATCAAAAATAGTGAGTGCTAACAAAAAAATTACAGAAAATTCAACGATAAAACAATAAAATTTATTTTATTCGTATGGCTAAAAATAGCTTCGGTTGCCATTATTATTTCGACATTTGCCTTTCGATGAGAAAAACGTGGCATCAAAAATTAGCCTCGTCCGGGCGTCTCGTCCGAGAGCTCTGCTTCTATCGCCGGCTAATTCTCTCCTACAAAAATTAGCCCCGAGGGGCGTCTCCTCCGGAAGCTCTGCTTCTATCGCCGGCTAATTCTCTCCTACAAAAATTAGCCCCGAGGGGCGTCTCCTCCGGAAGCTCTGCTTTTATCGCCGGCTAACCCTCTTCTGCATGAGTCTCATCTAATTACCAATACAGCCGGCCAAACTTGCACTATTTTAATGCAAATTTCTTATATTCTCTTGCAAATACGATGAATTTTTTCCCTAATAAAATAACCAATAATAATTTTTAAAAATTCAAAGTTGAACCTTCCTAAATTTAAAATTGAAATACTTTATTTTTATTGCCAAATTAGCCACGCTACGTGGTAAATCAGCAGAATAGATTCACGGCGCGGCGACCCTCAACTCGCAGCAATTAATAGCACTTCGAAAAGTTATTTTTCAACTCAACGAAATGAAACGTACAGAGTTAGTGGAACGTCGGTGGTTTAGTAGCAAAATGTTCGTCGTCGTGAATCGAGAATGGCTCGGATTCGAATCCGGCCGGCGCATCACATTCCAGTGCTGACAAACGGCGAAAGTGAAGAGGGAGAGGATAGAATGACTCAGTGAGTTGTGGTTCTTAAATCGCTCATGTTGAAAGAGGCCCAGGCAGAGGTAAATCTCTCCTCAAAAAATGCTGATGACGCCAGTGTCCCCCACTTGTACTTCTCTTACCAACTGATTCCCGGCCAAAATTCGCCCGGTCCAGGTTAGTCGGATAAGCCATAATGAGTGCTCTCAGAAAAAAAAAAAAAAATCGGCAGACCTAAGCTGACTTTCAGTAATATCATTACAACATCGGTTGTTGAGTTTTAGTAATGCCTGCAGCTTCCGAGTCCAGTCCTTTCGCTATTTTTTCTTATTCTTTTGTCTTTTATGTTTTAAGTTATTTTAATTTCGATTATTATTTTTATATTTGGGAATTTCGGGAATAATTCCGCCACAATTCGAAGCGACGTTTCTGCGATGCGATCTTAAGCCGGCGGTTCTCCGCCAGCGGCTCGCGCCACTGCTGATTTGGCTCGCTCTCATGAAAATTGGCTCAGCGCAATTGCCGCTGTCTTATATGGAAATATAGGAATGCCATGTGATTCCTCTTTATTGCATGAATGAACGTCTGAAGTCGGCCGCTTCTTCTTCTAATCATTGTTGTAATACTTACTCGTAACCATTTATTTATTCATCTTTCGATCGAGGATATTGCTATGAATATTGCAGATTCGGTTCCTCTCGAAAAGATAAGCGTGAAATTCTTGTAATGCTTGAATAAATAACAAAATTTATCAATTTACTTATTTTTTTATCAATTATTATTATCATCTCTATCTTAATTTATAATCAATTGGACAATTTAATTTTTGTTTTAGTCGGCTCTCTACGAGGAAAATCTCTCCATGACCAGGTATTATATAATCTACGAGGCAAATTATCGTTCTTCTCGATTCCGCTTGTTCTGTTATATTTTTTGATAATATTTGCCAAATATTCGAATATTTCAAATCTTCTTTATGGGTAAATACGTCCCCTGAAATTTAATGCTTTAATCGGAAGAAAAATTCTTGGTGTCGAATTTCATCTTATTTGAATAGTGAAAAATCACTATGACGTATATTTTATATTATATATTTAGAAATAATAAAAAAATAAGAAATATTCCAGAAATATTTTGGAAATAGAGTTTATAATTGATTAAATTATGAATAATATGAAGCTAAGCCAAAAATAAACGAAATTAATAACGTCTGATCTGCAGAATTTATATTAATTAATTTTAAGACAATTCAGAATAACCAGTGACAGCAACGGTTCCATAATTTTTGGCGTTGGTAACAATAACAGTAATTCCATCAGGTGAATGCCCAGGTGTTTTTAATAAATGAACATTTGGTGAGACATTGATGATATCTTCCTTTAATAATATTGATTTTTAAAATTAGTATCAGACGAAAGGTGCTGATGATTTGTTTTGAATTATTCGCATTTAGATGATCGCATTTAACATTTGTGTTTTATGGAACTATCCGAATCATTAGGTTTAGAGAAATTTAACTAACTTATTTTCATAGTAATAGTGATTTTTCGCTTAATTGATGCTGGTTATTATTTTGTAGATCCCATTAGCTGGTTAAATAGCTGGTAATAAGTGGTGCTTAGTTAGGAATTCAAATCATCGTGTCAAGCCAGAGATTATTGAGTTAATAGATTAAATAGATTTTCGCTAGCAAAACTTCTTTAAATAATTATTCTACGAATTATACCAAATGAAACAGAAGATAGAAGAAGAAAATCTAAGAAGAAAAAAATCGGCGATTTCACTTTTCTTCATTCTTCAGTGGAAACTTTCTCGGTTTCCCTACAGAATTTTTTTAAAATTGTCTATTGATATTTTATCGCTAAGTTAAGATAAGATCGCTAATATAAGTTCTTAATTCATAATTTTCATGTGATCTTATTGATAATGAAATTAAAATATGTTATTGGTGATGAATATAATACGTGAAATAATTTTGACAAACTGAATTGCGTCTTGTAATACATGAATATTCCTGCAAAATGAAGCGATTCAGGGAAACTATTAGTGTTTCCAGAATGATCTGGTTGTCCATCTGTTGTTATCACATAATTCACCAATAGCGGATTGATATTTAAATCAGCTAATTCTAAAAGTTTCAGAAAATTAGAAGGAAAAAACCGTGGAAAAAATAATGGTTTCAATAATTGCTTATTGAAAGCAGATATTTTTATAAACCAAACTACATTTATGTGAATTTCAGTGAATTTATTTTAATTTAATTCAAATTAATTCAAATTATAATTTTATTATGTTTAGTCGACTTTCTTAAAGTTGTTGGTGAAAAATAAATTTTTCGAGAGGATTTAAAAGGCTATTCTAAAATACACGTCTTAAAAATTCCACTTTTCAGCATATTATTTCGGCCTGTTAAATCGGTTGCCAAGCCAGTATCAACAATTGTTGTTTCACTGCCGTCAATGATTAACACAATCGATGCAACAAGCTCGTATCGATTATCATCAAGTTGTTTCGCTGATCCCTGTAGAAAATTGGTAATTTAATTGATTATAATTGTACAAAATACATAAAAAATTAAAAGATATTATTTAGATAAGCCAGTATCAACAAGTATGAATACTAAAATAGGCTTGTGAAATAAGCACCTTCATAAATATAGGCATCCAAAATAGACACCTATTTCTGGCAGCATTCATTATTTCTGCTTTGACTGCCTATACTGACTATTCATCAGACTTGCCAGAAAGTCACTTATGGATAAAAGACATTCCCCTTCGCCATATGGCTGGATATTTTTTCGTTAAGGTTATATTTTTTATTTGTTTTATTACGCTATCATTTTTATTTTTATTATCATTCATTTGTTTTAATCATTAATTACCGTTTGTAAAATGTAAATAATCGCTTGATTTGAAGATTCAGCGCTTTTATTGTCTTTATTATTATTAGTATAATGTTTAGAAGATGGCGCTCGACCATCAGTCAGTCCATCTTTCCATGATTTATCTGCATCGATGAAAAAATTATGTTCTGAAATATTCGCCATTATGTAAATTTTTTACATCCTTAATACACCTATACAATTTCAAGGAGAATTTGAGAAAAATGGTTGAATATAAAATACTTACCTACCGGAGGCTTATTTATAAGAGTGGTTGTTGGGATATATTCTCTATTCGGCCGAAATGACTTATTTCCTTCATTCCTAAAGAACTTTAGTTTTTATTGGAGCTTCTTTTCTGATTTTTTGAAAATAATATAAAAATAAAATGAGATCTTGCTTAACTGACAATAAATAACCTTAAATAATGAATATTTTCATCATTTTTCTTAGGAAACCTTCCTTGTTTTGTTAGTTTATTCGATGTATTCACATGAAAAAATTCTTGATTTCTTTCATTGTTGTCGCCTTTTGCTAAAATGGAATTCAGTTCATTTGTCACTTTTTTATTCGCTTTGCGTTTTTCTTGTAAATTCTGCAAATTTATTAATTTAGAGCTTAAAACACTTGTCGAAGAAGGAAAAGAATTTACATAATTTTAATGTAGGTATTGTCGATAATCAAGTTTTTATTGGAAAAAATCTTCCATCTGTTATTTTATTTCAGTGGCATCTAAAATTATTTTTGAAAGATGGGTGGCGAAAGAAATTCAGAAGAGCGGGGTCAACTTATTCAACTTTTCATATTTCAACTAATCGAGAGCATGGTGATTCAGATCTTGTGTTGCTTTGGCTTTGGAAGGAAGCATAGATTCAATTCTATCTCTTAAAATGACCATTATTAGGACCATTATTATGAATTCTGGATGGACACTGGACAATTGTGCATCTGTTTTTGTTCTTTGCTCAATAGTTGATTGAGTCAGCCAAGCCAAAAATGGTGTGTTTTATTAGAAGAAGAATACTTGTAACACGTATGCAAGTTGTTCAAAATCAATGTCCTCTTTTGTTATTTCATTTCGATTAGTTGCAATTTTTAGATGGGATCCAATAAAATATTCATCACTGTTATTATTTAGCGGGCGTACAACATTTTTGTGTTTCTCCTTCAAAAAAATTATAAATATTCTATAATATTTAATTTTTTTGAAATTTTTAAAATATGGTTGTTTTATAGTTTTAATGTAAGAAAATGAATTTACTTGAGCTTTTAGGGCCGTTTAGGCCTTCAATTTACATATTTTTATATTTGTATTTTATTTATATTTTAGTTTAGCTTTCTCAATTTTCCTGAAATCCAGAAAATACGACGCATATTGAATAATTGTTAACAAACCTGCTGTTTCGCTTGAATCGCTTCATAATTTTTTTTGTTATCATTATCATTATCATTATTGTAATCTTCCATCAGTTGTTGATGTTGTGTTTCAGTAAAAATTTCTTCAAATGGTACTCGTGACACGAAACCTTTTCCCTTTCCTCTTCTAACAAAATCATTTAATATTTTCATCGTGAATTCATTTGTAGAAATATTACTTTGATTAAATCGATCATTTTCTATAATTAGTTTTTTATAAATTAGTTTCAGTAAAATACAATTAAATTTTTGATTTATCTTTTTGATTTTATAATAATTGCTGGTTGATTGGTCGCCCTTAAAAAAAGAATGAAATTGCATTTATCATAAACTATAAAATCAAAACGTTTCTAAATATTTGTATGAAAACTTGGTTGTAAATTAGAATCAAAGAAAATATATTTTTTAAAACCTGCTAAAATGAAGAAAGATCCATCTGATAATAAGATAAATAATTGAAGGAGTTTATAAAAAATATTGATAAGCAGCATTAAAATTATTCTTACAGAGGATGATCGTGAAAAAAGAGGAATAAAATAATTATTGGAGAAAGACCGATAGTTCGTGGAAGAGGATTAAATAATTATTACTATTGAAGAAGGACGAATAGTTCGTGGAAGAGGAGGAATAAATAATTATTATTACTGGAGAAGGAGCAATAGTTCGTGGAAGAGGAGGAATAAATTTTAACTAATGACAATGACCGTGTGTATTCGTAAATTATCGTTGTCCTAGAATCATTTATTGGCGACAATCTTTTCATCTTTTTGTTCCATTTCTTCATTATTGAAAAATTTTTTCCATACTTTCAGTTTATTCTTCTTCATTTAAATGTTATATTTAGAAAGTAAAATAATCGAAGAGAGGGGTTTGCGACCGAAAATATAAACAACGCTAAGGCCTTCTGGCTTAATTTAATAATTTGACTTGGCTAAATTATTTCTGCTATTATTTAGGTAGGTTTCTTGGATTTGTAGCCTACGTGAAATGCGCAGTCTCTTCTAACAGCTCACACTACGGCTGATTTGCCTAACTCCATTTACGACTTAAAAAAAGGTATTTCCTCTTGATCTGATGCCTTAGAGTAAATAACTGCACCCCTTTTTCCCTTGTCTAAACTCACTGGGTCGTTTGTGTATATAAAATTTATCTTATCTTGTCAGATTTTAGTCCACAGCCCTCCTCGATTACATCCATCCATCATGGGCTGTAGTGCGTCAATTCCTGTGATGGATCGTGAAGAATGCTGCATAGCCGACGCTTTATGACCACTTTATTAATGCAGATGGAATTTGGAGCGAAGGCGAATTATATAAGACTTTGTTTGCTTGGTCGTAGGGGGGATGTGTTTTAAGAATAATAGCCGTAGTTAGATATGTTCCTGATATATTCTCACTAATGAAACACTGAACAATCGGGCAAACATAGGTAAAATCTCGCTTCTCCAGGTGTTTTACTTCGAACAACGATGGTGGTATCAATCGACCCGATTTTTTTTCCATATTCTTCAAACATTCATACATCTATTTCTAAATTGTATATTTTATATTTCTAAATTGTATAAAAAGTAGTTATTGATGTGAAATAACAACAGCAATAACTTCAAAAATACTTTTAAAATTTTTCGAGCTATTAAAATTTCTGAAAAATTAAAATTAATTTTAAAAAATGAAAAATTAAAAGCAAAAAAAGAAGGATTTTTTATAAACTTTTAAATTCAAAAAATTTATTGTGATAAATCAATGGCAATTTTAAGAAGAAAGAAGCATTATTATATGGAAAGATATGAAGAAATTTATGACTGCCGTTATGAAATTTTATCCTTTTCTGGGTCAGGAACTGATTTGAAATTATCCAAAATCTACAATTTTAGCATAATCGATCAAAATTTAACAGAATCATTAAAACATTCAATTTTCAACACAGTCAAAGTATGCGGTCTACCGCTAAATTCCCTTTTCGAAAAAGATGAAGTTTCCAACAGTCATAAAAATAGTAAACCACTGTTGAACTATTAGGCTTGCATTATAATATTCTGGTAGATTAGTTCTAGCTCAGTAGAGTTAATACTAAATTGGTACTGGCTTATCTAAACTACACTACAATACTCATCATTTAAATTAAATTAGAAATGTAAGCAAGCATATAGAACGAAATAATAATACAAAAATTTAAATTAGAAATGTAATTAAGCATATAGAACGAAATAATAATACAAAAATTTATCACGGAAAAAAAAATTGAAATTTTAGACCAGAAATGCAAAAAAAAAACTTTAGCAGCCACAGTTTTAGGTTTTCTAGGTTTATAGTAGCCAGAACAATAAATTTTTTCTAGGTTAACTTTACTTTCTGTTTTCATGGTCTAAATAATTAAAAATTAAATAAAAATGCAATGAAATTTAACTTTAACTTTAGGATATAAAAATATAAAATTTCATAAAATTTATCGTCGGGGAGCATTTCGATTTGTTATATTTGGACTCATAGATCGCCTTTGAAGTGTACGATTTCTTTCCGTCTCAATATCCCTTTCTTTTAAACTGTCACTTATGCGTTTCTTAAGTTCGGTTGGGAAACGATCATAGCATCGCTTACACGTTGGCTTCATATCAAATTCATAGAACTTCGTTCTCAAAAGTGATTATATTTTTATGAAGAGAAATTTGAACTAGAAAAATTCTCTAGGAATCTTTGTAAAAACCTCCAGAAAATATCCAGAGAACTTACTTGCTGTCCATTTTTCGATCACAAAAACTACAAGCGAAACAATCGACACACCAAGATTTACGTAGGGCTTGGAACACCTCACCACTACATATTTTTCCGCATTTAAAGCATACATTCCCATATAACTGCAAGAAAGTATCAACTTATTTTTTTTAAAGATCAAATTAATATAAGAAATTAGAAGACGCATTCTTAGGAATGCTATATTTTTTCAAAAACAAAGAGAAATTAAAAAAATAACATTAATATTCAAATTATAAACTTCTAATTTTATAAAAGCCGAAATTCAACCACGATAGAAGAAAAATTACAATTTTATTTGAAATATTTTAAAGAAATACTCTTTAAAAAATTAAAGAGAACCTTGTGATAATGTTGACTACAATAAGCAAGTCCTTTTTTTTCATAATGTCTATGTCCAAGAAAAGGTTTTTCACAAACAGCGCAAACAAAATGCTACAAAGATGAAAAAAATACAAAGATAAAAATTAAATAAAAGTTAAAAAATGAAATAAAAGTTAAAATGTTATATAAATAATATTAAAATTATATAAATTCAATGGGGCTCCAAAATGTGCTGCTACTTGTCTTAATTCATATTTTAGAATCATTATAATTTTAGAATCATTCAAAATAATTATTGGAATATTTTGTTTAATAAATAACACTGTAAATAAATAATAATAGATAACTTTAATAAATAACTAATAAATAATTGACAGAAACCAGATGTTCACAATTCGAATCTAAAAACCTAACTGACAGATGACTGGTATTCCTCATCAATCTTTCTCAGCAATACAAAGCAAAACGGTGGAAAATCTTCTTCCTTATATAATTAAGTGAAAAAAAAGAAAAACGTACTTCAACATGCCAATTTTTACCGAGTGCAGTGACAACTCGCTCTTCGATTGGGCGATGACAAGCACTGCAAATCGGTATTCCCATCGTGTCGTGACATCTAAGGCAATAAAGTTCTCCACCTATTTCCCGTGAATCGACCGTAAGTTCAGTTCTAAATGGGAAAAAAACAAGCATCTACGTATTTAAACAAATAAAATGCCATGAAAATTATTGAAGATTTACAAAAAGGAAAGAAAAAATCCCAGTTTTTTTGATTTTTCAAGGAAGTTTAGAAAAAAAACCAAAAATTTTTACTCGCATCTTTTACACTGAAAATGATAAGGATGAAAGCTATCGCCACGATATTTGATATGAGCACCCAGTTCAATAAATCCTTTACATTTGTGGCAAACATATCGACCCATACCAGCCTCTTTTTCAGCTTCATTACATTCCCTGCATAATGCCCTAAAAAACGCTTTGCCATTTTCGTGAAATAAATATATATATATTATTAAATACCATTTTAAAGGGAAAATAAAGTAAAATAAAAATAAAATTATAAAAAATAAATAATAAAATAAATAATAGAATAAATAATAAAATAAAAATAAAAAAGCGAAAAATTATAGCAAAACATAGAGAAAATATATGATACTTACCTGCCACTGTTCCTAAGAAATCCAACTTCAGCCAATTCTTTATTGCAAAGTTCACATCGGAAGCATTGTGGATGCCAATTCGCATTCATCGCCTTAATAACTCGACCAACGATAAATTCATCTACAAAATTATCCATTTAAACATCAAAAATTTAAAAACTTATAAAAAAAAGTGGTATTCTGAAAAAAATTATCTAAAAGATATTAGCATAAAAAGTAATTTTTTTCTACTATATCTGGTTAAGCTCGATCATTTTGCGATAGAAGTACGGGAGAATTGTCCTAAAAATGAAGTAATAACTCATTGAGTTCTATCCATTAACGATAGAAATTAATTTTAATACAAATTATTGTGAAAAAACTGCAATAAATTTACTGCATTTGTTACAACAAGGCGCATATAATACGTGAAAATCGTGTTCGCAATATTTACGACCTTCAAATTCAAAATAAATTCCATCGGGGAATGGTCCAAAACATTGTGCACATCTAAAAATTAACTCATATAAATCAAAAATGCTGTTGGCAAAGACTTTATCTCAATAGCACTCTTCTATCTTATAACAAAGAAAATTTTCAAATTACAAATTTTTTAAGATTATTTAGAGAAACATCAAGCCGATTAAGAATTAAAGAATTAAGAATTAAGCCGATTGTGTACTTCTGCTTCCATTTAAAAACTGTTATTTTTAGGCTATTCTCCAACAACGTGGTTTAAGACAATGGTACAAGTGGTACGTGCTACTCATATGCTTTGCACATAAATAGCCATCATATTCCGAGCACACTATCTCTTTTTTGGAGGCATGGAAAAGGAAGAGCTAAGTCCGATGATGCCAGAAAACCAAAAAAACATAAAAAGAAAATGGAATGTTTTGGAATGAACGGGAAAATGGTAGACAATGGTACTCGCACATATGCTATTACATAACTATCAAATAAAAAGTAAAAAAGAAAGAAACTAACACAAAACAATCGGAATGCCATACTTGACCGGATGAATTCACAATCTGTTCGTGTAAATCGAATCGCTCATGACATCGAACACACGATAAATTCTCGATTCCACGACTCAGGTCACCATTTATTATTGCACCATCCATGCCACCACAGACCATTAATTTTTTCTTTCCCTCTTTTACTTCGCTTTAAATCTATTCCTGAAAAATTCATTTCTTAAATTAGTTATAACTATTTCTCGGCTATCCCGAATGCTTATTTTTAGGTATTAACGAACAAAATTTAGAGCAATAATAATTAACAACCTAAAGTAAATGAAGGGAAGGAAGAATTTGAAGCCAACAACATTCTGCAGTAATGCATAAAAATGATTTAACGTGAACGCTAAGAAAGAATTTAAAGAAGAGCAAACGAAAGTGCCTGAGGCAAAACTTCGAGAAGGATCTGAGCTCGGGCCGGAAAAAATAGCGCTGAGAAAATATTTAGTGTATTTAGTGTATGCGAAACCATAAAAACAGTTTAAATAGACCTCCTCCACATCATATTTACACTGAACAGCAGTTGCTTTGCTCAATGCTGAAAACTGTGTAAAATATTCGTTTTTAATAAATTCTTGAGACGCAAATAAATTTTTATTAAAATATGAAAAAGAATTAATTAATTTTATATATTTTTAATAAATTGATTTCAATAAACAATTTATATAATATATTATTATATAATATTAAATACTATAATATTGAATAAATTTTAAAAATAATTAATAAAAATAATAATAAATAAACAATAAAAAAATGAATAAAAACAACATAAATTAGTGTTAATAGTTGAAATAAATTAATCGAAACAAATAAAAAAAAAAAAATTCGCTGCAAAATCGACTGATAATCAAATCAATGATGCCTTATTCGGCTATTGTAGCCACTATTTGTCTCTGTACGAATATAAATATTAATGTTGTTTAGTAACGCCAAATCAAGAAAGAGCATTTAAAATAATATTATTAATATAGAATTATCAAAAAGATTATAAAATATTTAAAATAAGAAATAATAAATGTGCAATGTATAGTTCTTAAGCATTGAGAAGTCGTTTCTTTTCTCTCAGTTAAAAATTTTAGAGGTCAGAGGTCAGAGGTCAAAAGTTCAATAATGTAACGATGCAACATTAACAGAAAAGTTAGACGAAAAATTTGGAAAAAAATACCAAACTGCCATCGACTAAACAAACAAAGAATAAATAGGCTGGTGGGCGTGGCTATTCGGCGAATTTCTTCAGCGTATCTGCGACGCACTCGAATATGCCTGCGCGAATGATTTCTGACAGCACTGTTTCTGGTTTGATTGGCACCGAAGGATGACTGCAGCTGATGAAAGAGTCAAGGATGGAAGGGACGGCAGACCGGAGGAAGAGTTTCAATTTTGTGGAGTCGGGTATATGATGCTTGACCTTGGGCGAGGCAACGAACCTCTTTTCGCGTAATCTAATAAATGTCCGATTTCGCGACAGCTGCACTTTTTTCATGGTTGAACCATATGGACCATCGGGAACTCAAAAAAAACCATTGATTCGAACATGCGCGAGAAAAATTCTATCATTCTATCGTTTCATTCTATCGTTTAGGTTTTCCTTATGGATCATTGGTACTCTGGTTGGTTACCTTTTGGCACAAGTGAAGTTACATTCTATTGTTCCACTCAGATCAAATTATAATGGCGATCACCTAAGCAAGTGCCGGTGTGTGCTAGAGATTCATGTGTCTTTATGGCCAAAACATCGCGGAAACATCCCATCCAGTAGTATTTAGTGAAATATATGAGAAATTGCTGTTACCGCAGTCTCTAATTTCTTCCATGGAAAAACAATAGCGAAATTTGTGGATGAAATATAAATTGGTTCCATGAGAAAACGTGTTTTCGTTGTAAAAATTTTTGGTGAATAAATTGAAAGTTAACATTGTTAACATTGTTTATCAGTCACATCATATCAATCACCATTAAAAGGCTTCGCTAAAACTCGCCAAAATGTCGCATTTCTATTTCCTAAAACAGTTGTAAAACAATTTTCTATTCATTCCAAGCGGGTTATAAAGATGAATTCACTTCAACTGAATCTTTAAACCATTATCATTAAATCTTTTTTATTGTTTTTTTGGTTTATTTTTCATCCTTCCTCAATTTTTCATTGCTCAATTCGGAGAGTCGATGCTGCAATTCCATTCCCCGCAGGAGTAAACCTAAGCAGAAGTCCGGATGATGCTGGCGTTTCACCACATCAAAGTCATTGGCATATTTATCCGATGCGATAAGCCAGCGGAGCGAGCTCTTTTTAAAAAGGAGCCCTCACCATTATTTTTTCCCATTGCGCTAAAAAACTTCACTGGTTCTACCCAATGCTATACTGTATGCATTACACAATGCATTCCACTTGGGTCGTGATGATCGTGGTCGTGATGCTTCTTTGGAAAATTCGTAATTTCCAATTTTTATCCTTGGAGAAATTTATGGCTGCGGTTTTTTATGACGTCACAGGAAGGATTTGAGCCATCTTCCCATTCGGTTATATCCGTCTCTTCTTAGCATTATTGGCGATAAGGCTGAAGTGTTTCAAATACGGTTCGATCCGATGTTAATAAGAAGAATTAATTAATTAGCCCTTAAAAAATCATTTCGAATTTTGTGAAATTTCCTAACTGTAATTGTAATTGATCGATATTTATGGAATTTCTTCTTATCAAGAAAGTCAGAGCGAAAATCAAACATGAGGAATTCCTTATCAAAATAGTAAACAAATGAATATAGTAATAAAAAAAATGTTTCTTATCATGATAAGCGAAATTTATATTCTGAACTACGGTCTATTTAAAAACACAAAAGAACCTTAAATTTATCATTGATAATCGAGAATGATTTCAGTATTGCTCATAAATTTTATTATTACAAGTACCTCAGCTCAACTCCTCGTTGAATTACCTGATGCTCCCACAAATAATCTCACAATTTACGCTGGATATTTCCCATTTAGCGATGAAGAGAAAATTCATTATACGTTAGTTTTTCAAATTAGTATTCAAAATAAAATTAACCCTCAAAGTGAACAATAATTATATCTAAGAATTCATTTGATATTTATAATTATCTTTAATTCAATTTAATTTATTTCAGCTATGTATAGTTTTCGTTTGGCGAAATCTTTCTCGAATTGTCGCATAATTAGTATTTTAAAAAAATTTCGCGCATTATCGGGCTATAGGCTTTGCATGCACAAACTTGGCCAATGAGAAATTTGAAAGCTATTTGCAATCCTTTGTGCCATTCTACATATTCTCCCGAAACGGACTTAGCTAGTAATGGTGACCCTTCAAGAAGAAAGCATAATAGAGATATGGAAAAATTTGCGCCTCACAAGATCCTCATCTGCATTAAGTTTTTCATCCAAAGCGTCATTTGCGCTAGTTTGGCAATATTCTTCGTCGTTCATCCGCTTGCTTAACGCTCCTATGGATGATTTTAAAAGGGAGAAGAAAGAAGGATCGCAATTTTCAGAAAAAATTTTGAATGCAAAAGCGGTCCAGCAATGTAAAGGGCTTGGACCGTGGAAGAAGGCGCTGCTTTAGGCTTCAGTTATTTTCAGGAATAGCATCTGATCGGCGGCTTGAATCTGTTGGAACGTATTAGATTTATGTGAAAGAACGATTTAAAGCAATTATGACGGTCATCACCTTCACGGAATCATCTTTTATTGTAATTAAGTACTTATTATTTTTAGCTTCGTGCATGCAGAAACAAATTCGAATGAAAGTCCAGTAATAGTGTGGATGGCTAATAAGGTAGGATGTTCAAATTATTGGCCCCTATTTTCGTCCATCGGTCCTTTCCAAATTACGAAAAATAGCCAAGTCCTAGCAGAAAATCCAAATTCTTGGACAAAACACGCAAATTTATTGGTAATTGATATTCCGGGAGGCATTGGGTTAGTTTTTTGTTAATTTTATGCTTTATACTCATTTCGTCTCTAATCGTTATGATTATCAACTATTCAGTAATTGAATCAATTTTTATTAGTATTTCATTTATAAATTTGTTCATCGGACTATTGTTTTCCAATCGAAATTCCGATAAATTTATTCGTTTGGCTGAGGAAAATAGGTGTCTAAGAAAAGATTTGAAATAGCAGTGGCCACTTTTTCTGGTTTATTTTTAATATTTTAGTTATTCATTGGTTTCACCGAGTAGATTATACACTGATGACGATTTGATAAATATTTATGTAAAAGTTCTCCAACAATTCCAACTTAAATTTCCGGCATTTAAGGTTTTTTCGTTCATTTTTTACCAAATCTTGCCGTCTGTAATGAAAGGAATTTTATTTTGAAACAATAATATAGATTATTCCGTTTGCTACCAATTATTTTGGTAGGGAAAGTATAATCAAATCGTATTTAGGCAAATGACATATATCTTTCTGGCTCCGATGATTCAAGTTGGATTATTCCTCTTTTTATAGAACATATCAAGAACAACAGCCTACTGCCAAGCTTAAATTTAAAAGTATTTTATTTATTACTTAATGTAGTTAAGTACAACTGAAGGTTTTAATTGGAGCTTATGAGAACCATAAAATTATTAAATTTTCTTTAGTTCTTATCGTTCATTCCAGAGGCTTTTACAAGGGTTGAACTGGAAATCTGGAATACTTTTCAAATTATCACTTAGATATCGCCTAAGAGTAATGAAATATCACTGAGGCACAAATCAGTCCCGAGCGCATCCAAATTTCCGAAGTCGATTTTCGCTTTAATTGGTTTTATTATTATCGCACCCAATAATAACTAAAAGAAATTTTAAAAAATAAAAGTCTGATATAAGTAAGTATTCGCCATATATAATTAGATGTGATTTCCGGCCAATGCAACAAACATGATTTTCAATAATAAGGATAATTAGTATAATTAATTAACGTAGCACAAAGCCAAAAAGTACGATGAGAATTTTTTACCAAGAAACACTCGGGAATAGAAGTACATGTGTATCTCCTGCACCAATGATCTTTTAATTATATATCGGATAATTAATTATATATTGGAAGTAACTTTGATTCTTGAGGCAATAATTTTAGCAAAATCACATGGTTTTTGTCCCAAATTTTTCATTGGCGATCAATTCTTTTTTTCTCTTAGTTAAAACTGGGAACTAATCAGCGAAAACTTTCAAAATCAAAATCAGTACGAACGATTTTAATCTCAGTTAAAGATTATTTAAGGGAGTATTTGGTCTAAATTTTCGATTTGCTGATGATCTTGTATTTAAGATGGCAAACATGTATTACTATGGACTCGTTAGTGAAAAGTTAGTGAAAAATAATTTATATAATTTGTTTTTTGAAGCTTATGAGATTTAAGATTATAAATTCTAACCGAATAACTTTTCAATATCATCACCAACTTACAGGAATTATCGCTCCGTAAAATATAACTGCTGTGGTGGCTTTTTATACAATTGCTCAGATATCACGAAAAAATGCAATAGATTTATTAAAAAATGTATAAAGGAAATTCTGTAAGTGATTTCATTAAAAGTCTTGATAATATACCCGTCACTTTTGGAAATATTGAATTTAATGAATTTGATGAGATTTATTAAAATCTATAAATCCTGATATCACCATGTTATATTTCGAGACCTCGGAGAATGACCACTGTTAAATTTCTAAAAATATTTTGATTGCTATTGCCAACATTTCGCAAATATCATATAATACTCGGATAAAGAATAAAAATAGTCAGTGCGGAATTTCGAAAGAATATTCCATGGAATTGCCGAGAAAATAGATAAGCGGACTTTTGCAAGATAAGTAAAGAGAATCCTAGCGCCCGTACTCGCGAATGTATGCAATAGTTCATCAATCCAGACTAAAGAAATTTCGTATTGTAATATGAAAATTTAGTGAAATTGGAATCAATCCTTATAATTTACATATGCCATGTGCTGTCAATGATGAAAATAATGTAAGTTGATTCTTAATTTTAGTTTTTAGTCTATTTTTCTTTTTCCCTTGACTCATCTTTAAGTACTTAAATTTAAGAAAATTGTGCAGCGAAAAGTCTATAAAACTATAAAAATTGATTTATTCATAGGAACGACAGTGCTATGATGTTAGTGAGTTCACATCGTATTTCAATCGAGAAGATGTTCGAAACGCATTTTATGTATTACCAGAAGTTAATAGTTGGGAAAAATGCGCGTATGACTTATCAATGCAATAAATTCTCTTTATTTTTATATTCTCTTTCCTCATTAAGTCAATATATCAGTTAAGATCATAAGTTTAGCAAGGTGAAAAATTTCGAGAAGAAGGATCACGACTTTAATCGAATGATAAGAAAGACGATCGATAATGATATTAAACTATTTCTGATTAATGGAGATTTGTCGATAAACAATTTTGTCATACCACAAAGAATCGTTCATGATCTTGGTTATCCGGTTCGTTTGATTTATAAAAAAAATCGTGAGATTTCTAGAATTATTCTAAATATTTCCAAGTTTTCGATACTTTCTAATCCACAGTAGATTCACTTTAAAGCATGACCATCCTGAATTCGAAAGCTTTGTAAAAATCGCCAATCTGCTTGTGGAACCATTTTTCGTCAATTATGTGCGTATTGACAATGATAAAAATGCATAGAAGAGATGTAATTATACACCATCATAAATTAAATTTTATCTCGATTATGCGAGTGATAAGCCTTACTTATGCATCTATCACAAATTCTTTGGCGAAAAATTCTCATTCCAATAGTTAATTGAGCCAATCTAATTAGAGAATCGAGTGTGTTGAAGAAGAGACTTAATAAAAGTTGTTTAAATCTTTATTTTTTTTTCTTTTTATAGCAATTATCGGCAAAAAAAGCATTCTCTATTAATGATGTTGTCAGCGGTTTCATTACTGAATACAAAGGCGTCGATTTTGCTACGATACTTGTAAGGTTTTAAATGTGGAAAATAAAAAAAATATTTGGCAAAAACTTTTTTTAAATTTAAATTCCTCTGTTAAATTATCAGTTTTCTATAATCAGTTCTATAATTATCAGTTTTATCAGCCTTTTTTTGATTTTCACATTTTATTATCGTTCAAATTCTCCATTTAAAAATAATAAAATCTTATAATAATAAAATATAATAAAATAACAAAATAAAATAATAAAATAAATAATAAAATAATAATAATCTTCCACTCTTGAATGCCGGAAAAAATTTAAAGAGAAATATTTCTATAAATTTCTATTTAAAAAATTGTTTCAGGGTGGTGGTTATCTCTGCAGTAATAAAGCTGATGTAGTGTTACATCTTCTTCACTCGTTCCTGAATAATTGACCTAATGAAATGTGATTTACCGTGATATGCCTTAGAAAATTAAATGTTTTTTAGTTGTTTCACTAAATTTGCGAATTCAGCAATAATTTTGCATATAAAAAGATTCATTTAAAATAAAGATTTAAAAAATTTATATGTGATTGGCATAATTTCAAACTCAAAAAATGCTATTTTTGCCATAAAAATTTACATAAATACTGAATTTTATCTGAACAAACACTACTGCTTCAACCGGAAAACCCAATGGCACACGAAATTTCTCTCCTGATGCACCTCCTCGTCCTCTCTTCCATATTTTTCACTACTTATGCCTCAAAGTTGGGTGTAAATCATCTGAATAAACTTTGATAAGTAACTGGTGGCAAAATAATTACCCACTGAGAATCGAGATTTGATTTCGAATTCCACTCTTCGAACCACTCTTCGTTAGGCTGCACTATGCTGCACTTAATAGAGAAAAACAAAAGAGATTCGAACGGCTCTGTGAGTTGGTTCAATTCAATTCGGAGTGCCGATGCACCACCTGGATTTCAAATCCAATCTGTTAATTTGCTGCAATAGGCACTGCATCTATTTCCATAGAAATTTTGAGATTTTAAAAAATAAAAATAAACAAAGGTACATAATGAAAATATGAAGTAAAATACTTGCCTTTTATAGTATTTTAATAGATTTCAACAAAATTACTGTTACATTTAAATTTACATTTACATTACATTGTTAAATTTAAATTTGCATTTAAATTTCAAATTTATAAAATCAATCGTTTAATATTTTAATCGTAAAATTCCTCAAATAATATTATTTTATTCAATTCGAGAAAAAAGAACAAAAATTAACATTTGATTTATTCGAATCGAGTAATCATTTGTTATCAGTTGAAAACTATGGAAACAAATGTTTCTTATCATGATAACCAGTGGCCTTTCTGCCATGATCGCTTTAAAAACAAATCATTTTCATAAATTTATCAGTACTAATCAGAAATGATTTCATTCTTCCTAGCAAATATTTTTATAGCAGCTGTTGCAGCTCATTTGCTAGTTGAATTACCAGGTGCTCCTCCAAATAATTTATCAATTTATTCTGGCTATTTATGGGATGGTCGTAAAGGCCGAATTCATTATATGTTAGTTTTTCAAACATATAAAGTTTCATTCATAAATCACAAGGCACTTCTAATCATTCTATTTAAATTTAAAGCCGAACATCCAATTTTATTGAAAAATTTCAATAGCCAAGTTATGTCTTGAAAAATTGCTATTAATAAGATCAATTCGATTATAGTATTTATATTCATAAAATTTTAATCATTAATCATTTCATCACTAATAACGAACATATTTGTACTACTTTCAGTTTTACAAAAGCTGAAGAAAATCCAGAAACGAGTCCATTAATAATATGGATGGCATGTCAACTTGGTTGCTCGAATTATTGGCCCATGTTCTCGTCCTTTGGTCCTTTCCGGATTAACAAAGTGGATCAGACTTTGAAAATAAATTCAAAAGCATGGACAAAAGTAGCAAATTTATTGGTGATTGATGTTCCAGGAGGCATTGGGTAGTTTCTTATTTTATTGCTTGCAATTAAAATTTTTCCAAATGGCAAGTTTTTTTTCGAAACATACCTATTTTTGACTTTTGTCACTGTAGAATTATTACTTTAATTCTGTATTTTTCTTCATTAGCTTTTTATTATTGAATTTAGGGTTTATTTCTGAGAAGCCTGGAAAATTCCTGAGAAATGAAACCCCTATTCTCACTGCAAGTAATTTTTAAAAGAATTTTTTAAAATTTGAAAGTGCGCAACGTTTTTTTCAGATATTCTTTGGGATATAATCCTGTTATTTTTAAAAATGATTTGATGGCGATTTATAAAAATGTCTTGGAACAATTCTTCATCAATTATCCTGAACATAAGGTTCGCATAATCTCTAAGATTTCTTGCATGTATTACGATGAACTGCATTTCAAAATTAGCTCACTTTTTATATCCAGAAAATCCTACCAAGCATTTCAATCATTTGACCCAAAAATTTCTTTTAGTTTCTCATTATTTTATAAAAAAAATAACTTCGGTCTATATTAAGCAAAACGATTTATATTTGGCTGGATCAGCAGCTTCAACATGGATTATTCCATCATTTATCAAATATATCACGGAATTAGAGACAGCAGACTCATCGAAATTAAAGGTTATTGCTGTAATTTTTTTAAAAACAAATTCGTTTTGATCAATCTAAAAAAAAAAAGAATTTAAAAATTTTTTTAATAATTAGTAATATGTCTGACAATGCGATTAGCAGTACATCATAGATTTAGTAAAAGCATGGATCATTTAGCATAAACATTTAGTTCTTCATGAATTAGTAGATTCCTTAAATAACATCAGTTCTTCTTGAAATCCTTGTTTATTTAACGCTTAGTCCTTCTCGAATTTATTGTGGATTCTCCATATCCAGTTTAAGTATATACTTTTCGCACTGTCTATCATTGCCAGTTTCATGGATCTCCCTTCACCATCTAGCAACGATTATATCCTACTGGTTAGGCTTATCAAGTATTCGCTTTTCCAAGCTTCTTGGTAGCGTATTTATTTTTGATCATTTCTTCACATAATAAATTTTAGTCCATCTCACCAATTTTCTCTCTTTCGATGTTTCTCAAATTTTTAAAAATTAAATTAATGAATAGAAAAAGAAACCAAAAATTATTTAATTTAAATTCTAGGGAGCAATAATTTTGAATCCTGCCATTGGCTCATCTGCTGTTTCTACATTATCAATAGCTTATATGTACTATCATGGATTCGTTGATGAAAAGTCGAGCAATTTTTTCGAAAAACTTCGCTGAAATCTTCCATTTTTCTCTTTCTGACCAAATTGATATTTTCGTACTGATTTACTAATTCCTTAAATATGATCATACGAACAATTTAATTAAATGATTAATTTCCAGAAATTTTCGTTATTTGGTATCAAATTGTTGCAATGGTGATATAGATCACTGCTTAGTGCTCAATATGGATTCTGAATGCATGAAACTTTCTTTAGATACCACAATTGAAGTAAAGTAAGAAATATATCATATTATGTTATTTTATGCTTTATTATATTACTATCAAATGATAATTGAAATTTTCGAATTTATTTATATTTGAATGAAAAATTTGGGTTCCTTTTTATGATAAATTTTTGAAACAAATTAGAAACAATAAGTATATATATATAATAAGTTTTGGATTGTTTCTTGTTCTGACAGTGCACCATTATTAATTAGACTATTTAATTATTAATTATTAATTCGACTGATTCCACTGGCTGCAATCACATTTGATTGCTTGATTTGGACTCCGACGGATTTAAGATGAAAATTGATTCGAAAATTGATAGGTGAAAATATTTAAACAAATATTTCTGCATATCACTGAAAATTTTTTTCGAGAATTTATTTATTAAATGGGCCTATCAAAATGATATTTTCAAATTAAATCGACTCTCACAATCGGAAATTCATCAATTATCGTTAACTGAAATCACGCAAGTTCAATTCCTTTCGAAGTCAGAAAAATTCGCATTATATTAGAATATCTGTCCAGTTGATTTGAGGTTCAATGAGAATTTTTCAGAAATTACCGTTATAGTTCAGTTGTCGCGAACTCAAGATTTATAGTTCTATAATTAACGAGAGATATCGTTATTAATACTGTAATAATAATATATTCTTTTTATACAAATTTGAATAATCGAAAAAATAAGAAGATTTCAGAATATCCGGAATCAATCCATACAATATTTACGAACCATGTCAAACCATGTCACCTCCATCCAATTTTACTAGAAAAAACGGTGGCGAAAATGATCCACCGGTTAATTTTTGTCATTTTATACTTATATTAAGAAGTATAGGTGAATCATAGAATTTATCTATTCAGCATTCACTTTGCCTTCATGAAGATAAAAATCTAACGTATAATGGTTTAATGAAAGCAGTTCAACCCTTCTCAAAACATACTTAATCTCTAGATTTCTGCCTCTTGTCAAGATCATAACGAATTTTTATCATATTTCAACCGACCAGATGTCCAAGTTGCACTTGAAGCTGTACCTGATGATTGGTTTTTTTGCAAGTATGGTTTCATTTAGTTTATTTAACATTATATTTATTATACCTTTAAAAGCCCTAAACGATTTTAATTTTAGTAGCAAAATTTCGTTTCCTGAAGAACATGATGAAATTGCACTCATGAAAACGTTGATCGACAGTGGCATGAAGCTACTTTTACTTAATGGCGATTCAGATATAATTAATCCTCTCACTGGCACTCAACAGTCCAGTCTTGATTTAGGATATGAGGTATATAATTCACTTTTTATAATATTAAATAAAATAAAAAGATTTAAAAAGATTTCTTGTAGGTTTTAAATACTACACACTTCTTTTCCTCATTTCGAAGTTTATCACTGCAATTTTTGATAATACATTAATTTTTTGATAATTATTGACAGTAATATCAATTACCAATAAAAAATATCAATTTTATATCTAATAGATGAAAGGAAAAAACGTTCTGTACATCAATACTGTGGTAAAAGGCTTTCTTACTGAATACGCGGGCTTCGATTTTGGGACAATACTGGTTAATAAATTACTTTTTATAACAAAAATTCCTATAAAGTAATGTAATGTAGAAACGAAACAATTAAAGAATTTGCCTTTTTACTTTTTATTACTTTTTTTTATTTCTTTTTCATCAACTTTTGAGAATATTCAATTAACAAAATATTAAATCTTTTTGCTCGAAATTCACCAAAAAATTTTTCAGGGCGGTGATTATCTTTGCAGTAACAAAGCCGATGTAATGCTTCACTTTATACGAACATTTTTGGAAAAATAATTTTTATACATTATAAATGTATTAAATATATTTATATAAAAATATAATTGTTGATGAAATAAAACACTCAATTTTATATCTTCGTTATTTCATCCAAAAAATATAATCCATTTGATTCATTTAATATATAAATTATGCATGCGTTGAAACTCTTAAGAAGCTCTAAATAATTATTGTCATGCAATGGAATGATAAATTCACACTGAACGGTAGAATAGTCAAGTGGTGTGTTACTTCGATCTTAGATTTAGGTTTTTTTTTTATATGTTAAATTAAATCAATCACTATTCCTAGAAGTGGGTGAAACCTGTTTTTAAGAATGAAATCTGAGTGAATGAAGCTCGTTTCTTCTTAACTTACCTTGTCAAAGTCAAGCATTTCATTTATTTGAGCTAAAAATTTCGTTTGAAAATTTTTGATAGAATTTTAATAATAAAATTGGAATAAGAATGAATTTTTTTGAGAAATTATTTCATATTACATTAAAAATTAATGAGCGGTTGCATCGTCCATTATAACCCTTATCAATCTGGTTTTAAACTTTGTCAAGTGATTTTTGGGTTATTAAAATTTTTGATAGTTTTATTTCACTTTTTAAATTTTAACTACTGAATTTTTAGGAATTATCAATGATAAAATCGTTTAATTTTTAAAATTAAAATTAACAATATGTAGAGAAGATTATTCCGAATTTCAATTCTAATAAATCCAAAAATATTGATGATTGAAAAGATGATGTTTTTAATATCGAAACAGAAAAGAAATAACAAAAAAAAATTTAGATATATCCACTAAGTGAAGGTAAATTGTCAGAATTTATCCATCCCTCTTGCACTTATCACTATTCAGTAAGCCTTCAAGCAAGATATATTTATGTCACTGGGAAATGTCTAAATAGTAGTGAAGAATCGAAACTTTATGTTTGGGATTTTTATCGTCAAATTTCACTGTGAGTTTATCATGAATGAAAGAAAAAAAAACTACCCGTTCTCTCTATTTTCACATTTTCATTCCATTAATTTTTCGAAAATTTTCAGAAAAAAAAAAACAAAATTATATCAAAGAAATTAATGAAACAATGAATTTAGAGTTTATGAAATTAAGAATCTTCGGGAAAAAACAAATCTGAAACATATTTACGAAATAAACAAAAAACAAGGACTAATAATTTGCGAAAAAGATGGAATTTTTAATGTCTATTCTATCCGTTTTGATCATAAAATTGGAGCGATTTTTATTGAAGAAGTTCGCGCAATTAGAAATTTTTATGAAGTTTTCAAGAGTTCAAGTTGATTCATCTTTAGTTTTCTCCCGATAAAAATAGAGCGATTGAGGAGTGCATTTATACAGAAGTGGTACTGTGGTCAATAAGTTTAATTTCTCCTTGATTTTCTTGTTCTTCGATAAATCTATCATTAAAAATCCTTATCCAACTTTTTTGCCCAGTGATTCTTTGCTAAAAGCATCTCAGCCTAGTGAATGGAGGAACCAGTCAAACTGATAGTGAAAGCTATTAGACGAAGGTTTATTGTTTGTATTCATTGATATTGCCTTATGTTTAGAAAATATTAAGTGAATATAGATCAAATGATAAGTGTTACTGGAGTTCAGCTCGTTATAATAATGGAATTGTATTGCTATTTAAAAAGAAGTTTATGACAAATGTACTATTTTCTGTCGCTAAAATTTTTATCAATCACTGCGTTCAGTGGATTTCGGTGGATATTCTATTCGATAGTTGCAAAAATTATTGTGGTGAGCTTTTTCAGATTTCTTTTTTAAAAAGAGCTTTTTCTAATTGATAATAATTAATAATTAAATCATTGTACTTCGCATCGGAATAAAACTGCCAGCAAAAAAACCCCTCCTATCGTCTACCGTCAAATAGTTTTCTGATAAAAATCGTATTGCAAGTAGTGAGACTAGCGGAAACTGATGAGTTAACCACTAATCAATTATTCCACTTTTTAGAATTATACCATATTACAAATTGATTTTGATAAAGAATTTATTTTTCTTGATCTACTTTTGCAGCAGTTTTTTCAATAAAAAGAACGCGAAAAACGAATAATTTTATTTGTCCTCAAGCACATAAAGAAAAAATTGAGAGTGAAGCCAATTTTTAAAATATTCATGCTTCAAGCTCAAAATATTAAAGGCCAACCATGGGTTTACAACAACAATATATACATGTTTCAATGTTCTGTCAACAACAATTTAAAGCAATTAACAGGAAAATTAATGAAATCAGATTTATCAACAGGTTTAACAGACATTATCAATACCAAATATCAACATGAAGATAAATTTCCTGCAACATTGATTCATAAGGTTGGGCTTTCAGAAATAATATACGATGAGGATGAGATGAGGATGATAAACCTTGTCAGTATATTATTATAAATAAAATTCTTAAAAGATAATCAATAGAAAAATATAAAATATAAAATGGTAGTACCATTGAGTTGTTGCTTTCATTTCCAAGTGCCGATGCTGGAGTTCTACTCCCTGCACGAGTAAATCTGTTTGGTAGCGGTACTTCTATCTCCAAATGATTAAGAAGGAGTGGATAAGAAAAGAAATTAATTTGGTTCGAAAATATGAACAATTATAAATTAAATAGTTATTATACGATCAAATTTAAAATAAAAACTCTCCGATCTTCTTTGCTTCTTTTAATTGCTCAACTCTATTTGCTTCAAATCATAAGGCGAGCAGGTAAAAAACATCTTTTAAAAAAATAGTCTTAAAAAAATAGTCTTTTAAGTCGAGCAGCTCAAATTTTATGTTTTCCACGCTTATATTTTGTATGATTTCAATAAAAACTATAATAAAAAGGTGAAACATGTTGAAAGAAATGGAGTGTTATGGATAATCGCAGAAGAGAACACAGATAATGCGATTAGGTGTAATATATATTCCATTGATATAAATTCCTTAATTTGGCGCAAACACGAATGGAATACGGAAAATATTAGTTTTGATGATTTATCATTGGATGTCACACCAAATGATACGATTATATTACTTAAAAAAACGAGTGATAAATCTCAATGCCACATTAAATCATTTCATCTAATTATGTCAAGGTAAAATTTTAATTTTTCAAATTTTAAAATTATTAAATAATAAAGAAACGTATTAAAAATAAAAATAATGGGAAAATAAAATCGCAGAAATTTATTGCTTTGAAATTTCTGAAATTCCGTTAACCAGAAAAAATGATACTGACATCTGAACTTTATAACCAAAAAAATTCACTTTATTCATTTCAACTTCAACTTCAACTTCATTTCAACTTTATAACCAAAAATATCTAAAGTTCATGTTAATTTTCCATAGTAATTTACTTTCTCTTTATTAACTTATTTTATGGTTCATTCGAAGAGGATCGTGTAGGCTTTAATATAATACATCAGTATAACGTGATAAAACTCGTAACATTGCTAAAAGAGCAAAAAGCACTGAGAATTAAGAAAAATCTATTTTAAGATGCATGTATGCCGCAAATAAATGAATGTCAATACTAAGAAATATTTATAAATTGATGATATCAGAATTTCTTTTAACAATTTACACCATTATTAGGTTGTCTGTTTTCATTGGCAACGAGGGTATGGCGGTTCTAAATCACTGAATTCGATATCTAAATCTTGTCATACTAATCGGAACCCACCGCAGTACATCGCTAGGCGACCTATAAAAATTTCCCTAAATGTCAACCTAGGTGCCATCTTTCGCCAAATTTTGGTGCCATTTAGTGCAACGCATAGCATATAGCGAGGACTAACTTGTTATAATGTTTCGTGATGTTTCTAATTTATCCACAATTATTTTTATAAATAAAATTTATCGCTAAAGATCATCTTTCAGGAACCCTGAAGACTTATTGAAACAATGCTTTTATACTTTAATAAGGCATTTTCCAAGTATACGAACTTTGTCCGCAGACAAAGCGAGAGAAATCGGTATTCCAATTTGCTTCTATGAATGAACGCGAAATGTTTCGATGTATTATTTAATAATTTATCGATATAAGCTCATTTTGCACGTATAAAATACGAAGTATATTATGATATAAATGAATTATAAAAAATTAGTTTCGATAGAAATCGTAAAGTAAGCGTCTGAACAATTATCATAGAAAATCACTGCAAATCTCGAAATAACTTCTAAAATATAAATTTTCGCAAAAATTTTCCTTCATTTTTTCTCATCTCGAATGTGTCTACCAATAATAAAGGTCTCTTCTGATTGTAGTCTGAAGAGATTATAAAATTCAGAATTTTCGAATATTCGATATGAATCCGAAATAAAGTAAAAAAATTACTTAATTGTAAAAACTGTGAAATTCATTATGAAAGAAAAAAATCAAATGAGATAGAAGATTTTGGCTGATTATGCCGAAATTTTTTGCAAAAATTACAAAAATTAAGTTCATGAAATATTGAAAAAAAAACCATAGAAATCTAAGCAATCCTTTTTTTTTCTAATCATTGGTAAAATTAGTGATAAATTTTGCAAAATTCTTTCTGAGAATACAATTCAATAATCGTTTGAAGAAAAAGAAGATAATAAGGCGTTTTAATTGGATTCACTAAAAGTTGCTGTCGCTTAAGTGATCCAGGAAAAAAATAAATTTTTCTTTATTCAACTTAGATATTCGAAGTAAATCCGAAGTCAAACAAAAAATAGGCTAAGGAAATTAAAAATCTTGGCGATTATTTCTTAAATATATTATCAGAAACACCACGAAAGAAGAGTTCGCTTATCCATTCGTCCATCTTCTACCAGTTTTATCAGAAACTATTCATTTGTTTCATTTCTTGCACAGATTAATTAAGAATAAATATTTTCAGCCAGAGGTGCAATTTATGCTTTTTTCAATTAGGGCACTCTTCGCAAGTAGAGTGGCACATTGCAAATTGCTGATTGCGCGATAATTAGGCGAATAAAAAAACTGATAATTAATTAGTGAATCGAAAACCATATTTATTTAAGTATTCAAGAAAAAAGAAAGTAAAGTTGACAATATCAAACGAAGTGAACTGCTATCGTCACTAATGAAAGCTGACGTATCATTTTGTTAACAAAAATTGCTTAATGATTGAACTAAAGTAATTTAATCGAGTGGAAAAGTAAATATATTTTCCTTTAATCAAAATATTATAATTGGAGTTCTTATCGGAAAAAATTTTTGTAATTTTAATGAACTTTAAATAGACTTTTTGATGCTAAAGCAAATTTTTTTAATAATTAGTCGACGGTTAGTGATTAGTCCTAAAATAAGTATTCGAAGTATTCTATTCGAGTAACCCACGGTGTTGTCGCTCTTATTTCGATGCACCTGAAATTCATTCATCGTCCATCGGAATACAACTCCGTTTCGAAAAATTCGGATGGCTTACGACTTATCTCTACTTCCATCGCCAAGTGTCTCCTTGGCAAACATTTATCTGGTCCGACAAGCCAGAGAAGTGAAATTTGATTAATCCTAATCAGAAGTGGTTCCTCTTAAAAAAAATTTAGAGGTTCCATAATACGACTTTGTCTTGACGCAATTTTAAAAACGACGGCATTCGATCTTGAATATATTAAAAATGGTTTATTTAGTTTTCTTATACGATTCTCTTATGTTACTCAGGAAAAGTTATTTAACGACGCTTCTTAAGATTTTTATTGCTCCACTATTATTGCAAGAAAGAACTGGCTAAGATAGCGTAAATTTATTAAAAAATAATACAGAAATAAGTATAAAGGAAACGAATAACATAGTGCAGAGAAGGGTCACAATGGTCCTTTGGCAGAATAAATTTAAAACTTTTAATTCAAGCTGCGTACAATTTGAACTATCACCACGATCGTATCAGCGCGTATTCGAGGATTGTTCTGCCTTAATAAATATCACGATTCCATCAAATTTAGGAAAGTGCATGATTTTATGCAGAAACCAAAAACCTACCGTTTCACCAGCGTAAAAATCACTGAAATGGCGGATAGCGAGTCCAAATAATAAGCAAAATATGAGAAATATCCAAAGCACTGAGATATCGATAGAGGAACCTTCATTGTACATCTGAAAGTCATTTCGATCGTCGTTTTAACAAATCATTTAGGTGCTCCTATAACTCACCCTTGGACGATTCCTCGTTCGTTTCAACCATCGCCAACGTCTCATTTTATGTCTCAATATCTATGAAATGAATTATGCAATCGTCATATCGGCTATTATAAACGATTATTTCGATCAAGAAGCAATTTCGACCTGAAGCAACTCGAAAATGCATTTTATCTCGTAGAATTTTCACAAATAGCATTTTGTTTAGACTATCAGTCCAGTGATAAGCGCATTTATTCATTTTAATCTAAAGGGCCAATGCAATTTGCAATTTTTTTCTCGAATAAAGTAAAATATTCCAAATGAATATTGCTACTATATGAGTATTAATGAATATGAAAGAGTATTGCTTAACAGTGGAATAGCAATGATAGTAATGATAAAGTATCGGAATATAACCGTTATTATTTGCGGTTAATGATGATGAAATTAGTGTGAAATAATAATAATTATTTTATAGAAAACTTTTGCGATCACTAAAGATTAAATAAAAATTTTGCATTTTGTAAACAAAAATTGGTTCAAATAAAATAATTATTTGTCGTTCCTTTCTTCTTTTTAGAAAAAATTTTTCATCATTCATAAAATAAACAATTAAATATCTTTTAATATATTTTTAAAAATGTTTTCTTTTGTTGAATTAATTCGCATTGTATCCAAAATAATTTTTTACCTAACTGCCAATATAAATTTTTGCATAAATTTTTAGCATTTTTTTATTGTAATTGTTGAAATTTACCGAAGAAAAAAATTTTTATAAATAAATTGATTCTCTATTAGAAAAGAAATTCAATTGTCGATAGTTCTATTAGCGAAAAGAATTTATTTTAAATCGCTCAGAAAGCCAACAAAAAAAAAAACTGTCATAATTCTTTAATTCCTTTTTAATTCGAAATATTTATCAGTTATTTATTTATCAGTTAATTGTTTATTGATTAAACAATGAGAATAAGTATTTGGTTCAAAAAATAAAATCTATGCTAGGAATTAATCACCAATTGTCATCCGCGTTGAAATTCTTTTCGCCATTTTTCGTTAAAGCGAAACTGAAAAAAGCGAGTGATGCCTTCATTTTCTTAAGAAACCTTTCATTGTCATAGGCACCATTTGCTACTGAAAATGAAATTCGAATGACGTCGCGAGTCATCTGTATTTCTATTCTCAAATAGCAAAAGTGCCTCACCTTTGTCGTTTGTAGAGGTAGAAGTGGCGAGTAGATGGATCCGCAACATCGCCCTATTCATTGGATCCTTTAGAGAAAGGTGAAGAAAAAGAAGTTAATTTCAGTATTGTCATGCAACTATCGTACTTTTAATGGAGCATACGTAAAAATATTCGCTTGGATCAGAATGGAATCGATACATTTATCATAAACAAATCTATATCACTTTGTCGCGTAAAACTTAAGTTTTATATATTTATATAAAGAAGTTTCTTTTATGTGAAACTTTCTTCGAATATAATTAATTTATAATAATATTTTATAATAAAAATTTCCTGGTCACCTTGGTAACTATGTGAATAGCAGCGCATCTTACGACTTGAATATCCACGAAAATGGAGACAATAAATGGATTTTTCTATTGAAATTTTTCTAATTTCTATAATTAAAACTACTCACATATGAATATAGCGATTACGAATGCTCGCTTTTTTTTTCAATTTTTTTCTCTTTACTTTCTTCTTCAAAATTTTAGCGAACAAAATGATGAAAAATGCGAAAATAATCGTGGCATATATACGAAAAGTTTTTTTAAATTTTCTTTTAGCAGTTTTCATTCTGTCGTTGAATAAGTGAGTGGCGTGTTACTTACTTAGTCTATCAACTATAATTACGAGTATCACGCATCAGTTGTTGCTATTTGGCGCGAGTGAATTTATTAGTAAAAGGAACATTCGACTGGCGATTGGGATACTTATAGTTAAATGACTTTATGGCGAAAAGGCCAGTGTAATAAGCCAAGCCAAAAGCTAAGCCAGAAATGATGAGTACCGTAGAAAAAAAAGTGTAATTGCGTTACTAAAATGAGAGGAAAAATATCAAGTTTTAAAGATATAAAATTTAAAAATTTGTTTAGCGATTAATTATCAGTGAATGAATTTATAAATATTTATGGGAATGAATACAAATATTCACTTATCACTCGATATTTTTGCTTGTGATAATGATCAACTAATGAATTTTTAGATATTATAGTAAAAGATTAGCTGAATACCTTCAACCCTTTGAATAGTTTCCTTTTTTCCTTTTTTTTTTCTTCCTTTCTTCCTTTTTTATTAAATACGCTACATTAAGTTACCAAAATCTTCTAATTTTAAAGGTGCAAGGTTGAAATTAGCTTGAATTTGATAAAGATTCACTGAAAGAGCCACTCAAATTCTCGAAACTCGAAATCTTGAGTGATCAAAATTTCGAATTCCCAAAAACTATAAAATATTTATTTTATCTATTTTAATCACAAGTGATTTCGGAAAAAGAAAGCCATTTTTGCAACAAAAGTAGTTTAAAATTCTGAGGTTTTGTGTGCTCTACTGCCATAAAAGATGGTCAATCGAAGTTTTTTCTCAGCCGAGATTTTGATTTTCGGTATTTTTGCACCGTTTCAAATGGGTACCAAGCATCAAAATTTGCAAGTATAATGTTTTTTCACTGTGAATATTTTCCTTTCTCCATGTTTTAAATTCAGAATCTTTCGGAAAAACAAGTATGATGTTTGATTTCCAGAAAGTGCTGAGACTAAAGCTGCGAATGCTGCTCGTTATCGATATCGAAAACTCGTGATTTCGCATTTTTGATATTCAAAAAATTTGATTCTCTGATATCTTAATTAGTGCGATTTATCTTAATAATTATGTTTTTATGAATTCAAACAATTCTACGAAGCATTTGTTATCCAACAGCTAATAAAAAGTTCAGAAATTACGCTAAATATCACGAATACTAATTAGAGAAAAAATCATAAACGAATTAGAAAAATAATAAACGAAAAGCATTCTTACAAGGCAAAGAGGATTATTAGCTAAGCAACGGTTTTAAAGACAACAATATATTTTATATTAAATAATATATTTGTGCTATAAGCCATATTGCTGAACAAAAAAATCTTTTAAATTATCGAAAAGCTTTGCAAATCATGAAAAATGATTTTTTTATTATTTTTTATTATTATTAAATATATTAAATATATTTCTATAATTTTCATCTAGTTTATTTCGTTATTAAAATCTGAATTCAAATTTAATTCTTATTCTATTATTTAATCAACAATTTCGTTGAATTATCGGCAAGCCTTCGTTTGTAAATGAAACGATAGTCGACTGGTTTATCTGCGATTATGCGATCCCATATGCGAAACTGATCAGCCCTTATGTATTTCTAGTCCTAGTTAATTCACTGAAGAAGAATTCTGTAATGCAGAAATGCTGAGTGGTTTCAGAGGAAAAAAATCCTTTTCATTTGTAAAAATATTCCCAAACCTTGATATTTGTCTTGGTTTAAAAAAAAAAAAAATGGATATTTTCATTTTTTAACAAAATATTTTATATAAATTTAATTTGTAAATTTATAAAATTTAATTTAATTTAATTTAATTTGTTTTTCACAAAAAAAGCAAATTTTTTAACGAAATTATTATTTCTTTTATTTTCTTTATTTCCATAAAAAATGAAAAAGTAAAGAAAAAAAGTAAAGAAAAAAATACTAAAAAATATTTTCTAAAAATGTTTTTCAATAAAGAAAAAGCTTGCAGGAATTAATAATAACAAGTTATAAATCCAATTGTTATATTATATTGTTGTATAGAATATTTGTTTCATTCTATCAATTTCATTTTACTTCTTCCCAAGAATAATTAGAATAATTCATAAGTTAGAGCATCTATTGACGGCGATTTTTCAAGATATACATATAAATATGAATAATATTATGCGAAATATAAAGATCCACAAGGGACTTATAGGTATGGCTTTTCAGTGTTGTCACATGAATTTGTGCATGAAAAATTTCAGCCCGTAATTAACCTTTACTGATGCGGTACTCGTTTTCTGAAAATATCAAAAAAAGCAGAAGCACCTATGCCTTTTTCACCAATCGGAATCGTTGATAATACTTTCATATCTGTTATCGCAGTCATTCATTTGTTTTCTAAATCTAATAACAAAAACTTTATAGGCTTCAAAACACTGCCAAAACAGGCTACAGCATACAAAAAAAAGTTGTATCTAATACAAAGCTGAACGTCGTAGGAAATCGGCATGCTTCACAACATAAGTCTGCAAGTTTTGAGCGTTTCTAGTCTTCCTATTTTTATGCATCGCACATTCGTATTGCCTTCTAATATTTTTTTCGCCATTTTATAATTTCTATAATTTATTTTTTTTATAAATAACTTTGTGTTAGCCTCGTTTCTTACTAATAATTTATATTTGTCTCTCTCTAAAATTTTTACAACTCATTTAATTGCATTGATAAACTTATTTTTCGTTACCACAGAATTTGCTGTTTGCTGCTATTAATATTAATATTAATAATAATTTGCAATAATTTTTGCAAAAATTAAATTTAATACATGCGAAATGCATAATTTTTTTATTAGTTATTTGCTAAAATTTGCAATTTTTTTTGCAATTAAATTCATTTGCAAATGAACGTATTTTTACAAAATAATTAGAGATAAAACTATTGTAAAAAATTTTTAAAAATTTAAAGAAAAAATTTTATGAAAAATTTATTTTTCGATTAATTTTTCGCATAGCTAGACGAATAGAATCTGCTTATTTATCGTAAGTGAATGAACAAAGTCGTTCGATGAAGGAGTCATTTGTGGATTCCGCTTTTGCTTTTTTTTTAAATTTTTACGATAAAAAACATCTATCGCAACTCATAATACAATTTAATGAATAGCATTTATGATTTCCAAGCTAAAATTTTTTCTGTCTGAGAATTGAGACGAACGAAGCAGAATTTATGGCTCACTTTTCCACTTCTTTTCGGAGATTTCAGAGGCATTTTACTCCAGAAATTATTATTCTTGGAAGCGATATCATTATGAGTTCATTTAATTCCAAATGATTTCAATAGAAAATTTTTTAAAACTTCGGTAATGGAAGAAAGATTTTGGTGATTTTGGTAGACATGAGTATTTCATATTTTTTGATGTAGCAGTAAGTTGAAGTTAATGAAAAATGCGCTAGAAATATGTAATTATTACGTAAGATAGTCCAAAAACTTTACCTGTGGAACACAGATGATCGCTTATCACCATAGTTTCGGAAAAATGAAAATAAATTACACCCAAAGGGAATTTTCGATTCCCAGCCGAGCTTTGTTATCTGTCACCATATAAATTCGCTAATTAATCTCTGCTACAGCATTTTCAAAAGCTCGCATAGCAAAATGTTCTTAAATTGTTTTATCTCTTAAAATCAGTAAAATTACTTATTTTACTTATGCGGAAATTGGGTATTCGATATAAGAGGCCAATGTACCAATATTTTGTGCCAACATTTTATATTTTACATGTAACCAGATTTCTGGGTTTGATAAGTGCCTCATGGTGCTAAAATCTATAGATATTACGGATTATTGGTTACGAGTTAACTAAATGAATCATTCGTTGAGATTGGTTTCAATTTTTCTTTATGTCAAGCGACAGATAAACTTAAAAATGCTCATTTAGTTCCTTGCAGCTCTAAAAGGCATCCTTATCCATCATTTCTTCCTTCTATTAGAAATTCAGTTCATTTAATTCCAAATGACTCCAATAAAAAATTTTTTAAAAGTCTGATAATGATAATCAGTTAAGATAATCAGATAATTAGTGCAAGCTTGTTTTCACTTTATTGAGAAATTGAATCTAAGGAATTGAAAATGACTGCTTCCGAAAGCATAGCAAAATTATAAGAATTTGGAAAATAATAATTCAAGCGATGATATGATAAGCGATGAAGATGAAATGAACTTTATAGTAAAATTGCCAGACTTGAAAAAAATTTAATTGAGATTTTTAAATTTTGTAAGTCTTTTTCTTTCTCAACTATGGAAAAGTGAGTGCTGACGTATCCATTAAAGAATGCAATTCTTAAGTCGAGGACGATTCAAAGTGATCCTCTCAGCACATTTCAAATTTTATTGTTTCTGGAAGTTTCTGGAAATTCCTTATAATTTTTATATTTTCCATCTCTTCTTCAGCACAAAAACGGAGCAATGATGAGCGAAATCACAAAATAAAAATAGAATTTCAAATGCTTTAAAAATCCGAAAAAATTATGTGCTACTATCAGTTCCGAAAACTTTCACTATCTAATAACATCAGCCATTTCTGATTTTATTAGATACTGATTTATGTCCTTTAGCCAGGAAGTTACTTGAATACGGGCATTAGTTGAGCCCCATGCTTGGTTTTTCTTCATTATACCTTATTTTTTTCTAGTTAGGCTTTCTGTTAAGGCTTGTCAAGCAGGATTGTCAATTTTACTAGGAAACTATAAATATATATAGATAAGTAGCCAAAATCATTCAGATTTCTGAAAGGCTGATTCAGTCCTACTGCGACTAAAACTCCAGCATTAACGCTCCAAAATGAGACCAATAACCCACTGAGAAATTCTACTTTTACATATCTTATAGTGCAAATCTATAAGTAATTACAAATCGCTCTCAATCTATCTTAAATAATTTCAGTTAAAAAATTTAGGTAATAATATACAATTGCATTTTCCGTTTCCATGAAAATGATATGCCTTATTGCAAATTAACGAATGTTTGACTGATATCTTGGATTATTTCGATTTACTTGCTTCTTCAATTTTTCGACAATACATTTGAAATTTTATCAAAAATTTAGTTCATCTTTTTTTTTCACTAGTAATATCATTCACTGATATTCGTCATTATCAATCGAACAATTTCTTAGTAAAAATCATTTAAAAATAAGATATATATCTCAGAGAGAAATTCGATGTTACACGATGCAAATGATAATTTTGGTTTTGGCGATATGTGGTATCATGGCTTTAGAAATAATTGTATAGTTGAACAAAACAATATGCTACGAGATTCATCGTATATACGATCCGCAATTTTCGATAATACCAGGTCATCGTTTATGGATAATATGGCATTATTTGGTGATTATGATCATTCAATTTTCACTAGTCTCAATCAGAATATATCTAATCAGAATATATCAGATAATTTATCTAATCATCATTATCATCATAATAATCAGTTCAATAGTAATTTGCCACAGGTTTGTTTGTTTCAACTGATAAGTGGTGATATTATTTTTCTTAAGATTTCAACTACTATATATTTTGCTCTATTGTTGATTAGGATAAGTAAGGCCTTTCGCCGAAGAATCAGGTGGCGGGGGGGGGGGGGGGGAATAAAAGTACAAGTGGATTTCTGGCATCAACCAATTTTTTTTTAATGATTCGTTCCAGCTAGATGTGTAGGCCTATCCATTTCCATTTGCTTGAAATATTTCTCTGGGCAACAAATCATTCAGCCTTACAACCTTACTTGAATGAAATAATTTCTGTGGTAACAAATTTTATTTATTTTCTAGTGTCAGACAATTTTATCCAAAAAGAGAGCCATTTCCGTTTTATTCAAACTTTAGGCTAATATCGAATTTGGTAAAAAAAGATGTTACAAATTTTAAAAGAGCTTCTTATCATTTCATTTTGGATTATTATAATCATCATGAGCCAAAAATTGTTTATTCTTTTCATATCTTTATTCAATAAAAAATTTATTAGTGATGAATTGTGACTCAATTTGCTGCAAACTAGTAATTCGAATTACTTTTAGGAGCATATTTTGAGCAACTTTAGTGCAATGAATGCTTGTATGCAAGCGTGCAATGATGCTTCCATGAGGAACACTTTGGCATTTTCACGAACAAATAATATATCTTCATCGACTACTGCATCTCACAATGATTTACCCGTTGTAACCACCTCATCTGCTCGATATAATATTTTTCCAAGCAGCGCATCACCTCGACCATCGCCTATGCAATCCAAAGAACTATTGCAAGCTTATGCTTCGTCATATTTGGCTCCAGAATCCACGTAAGTTTTTTATACCAAAAATCAGCCACATTTTGGCTTATTAACTGCTAATCATTAAAATCAAATTCTTTAAGGAATGAATTAAATACAAGAGAAAAATGCTCGAATATTTCATCCTTCACATTAAATTCGAACAAATGGAATAATGGCATACAAACTTGCCAAGTTTGCCTAGCAGCTGCCTCAAATGGTTTACATTTCGGTGCTAAAACATGCGCAGCATGTGCAGCATTTTTTAGGTTCCTATTTGTTTTGTCAGATTTATAAGCTATCTTATCAAATCATTTAAAAACTGCATGAACTACGTAAGGTCGGAATCTGCCTATTGGCCTGTTGGCTTAAAATTCAAAATACGCCTTGATCAAATCAAAAAGAAAAGCACTTCTAAGCGTGATCGTGATTTTTACCTTTCCAACTTAGTACTGAAACATTTTATAAGTTTCCATGATGTATTTCTTTTAAAATATTTCTTTAATAATACCTCTATTTATTCAGTTTTTAAGTATGATGATTCAGAATTTGACAGGAATGAATCTGTAATTAAGAAATTCGAGTGGTACTGGAGAGTGGTACTCATCTATATATCCATCTCCAGTATACTTTCTTACTAAAATGCCGCACCTCAGTAATCAAACTATATGCATAGAAAAGAATAATAGAAATGAAGATGAATTTATCGTAAAAGACTGAAACGAACTGAAATCAAAAAACTCGAACATATCGATATGAATTGAAGAGCCTAAAATAAATAAACCAAACGGGTTGTGCTTTCTTCATTATTACTGGATTCACTAGTTCACGATTGGAATGAGACCCTTCATTCCATTCTCGGTGAGAAGCACGAAGAAGCACAGCTGGATCTCCAGCACCTCCACCATCTGGATTCGCTCCCGATAAATAAATTTTTTTAATATAAATAAACTTATTCTAGAAAATTTTATTCAATAAATATAGAATATAAACAAGATAAAGTATATAAGAATACTTGAATCGTTAATAATGGAAATTCTAAAAAATCATTAATTTTAAAAAATTTTATTCTTTAACAAATCGTATAATTTTACGAATAGAGTTCTTATTTAATTAAATTAATTTAGCAAATTAATATTTAATAAAATAATTATAAAGTGGTGTTTTTAATAAAGTAATTATTCCTTTCATCTTTCACCTATGAAATCAATTTTTTTTTTAAATATATTTTTTCAGACGAACGATAAGTGACCAAAAGCGGTATACATGCAAAAAATCACAAAAATGCGGCATTAAAATTAATGATGGTTTGCTTTTTTTCACATAGTTTGCGAAAAAGAATGAGAAAAAATAGGATTTCCATTTTATTATATGCTGATAAAAAGATATGATAAAGAAAATCTCGCTTTGGACCAATAGATTTTTATAGGCAAAGCGAGATAAATATATTGATTTTGGTCCAAAGAGAAGGTAGTAGAGAGAAAAGAAGGTATTAAGGTATTATTAAGGTATTAATTTAAAAAATTAAAGATATATGGACTTTTGAAAAAAATATTGAAATTAGTAGTAATAAGTAATATGTTATGGGTTTCAAGTGTTGCAACTATAGGGGGTTTGATAGTAAGCATGAGGAGACTGATTAAACGAGCGTGACGAGATCAAAACAACTACTGGAGCAGATGGAAGCCGAAGAGTTATTTAATTAGTGTAATGGTTTGCGGTGCCACTTTATACTCTGCAGGGATATTGGAGTTTGGCAAAGTTAAGAATACTAATTGAAATCGGCTTTCAAGAAAATATAAGAAAGTTTTGAAAATGTGAAAGAGCATTTGAGATGGATCGGAAACTACAAATAGTGTGGTGTGATAATTTTTCCGGACCATAGGTTAATATTGCAATATTGTGATAATATGCTAAACAATATGCTGTCTGCCAAATCCTTACAATCCCTAAGGGCTCAGACCATCTAAATTCCATCCATCCAAGTGTTAGTAAAATGTTTCTTATACAAAATTCTCATTAGAACTTCAAAATAAATAAACGATATAGCTGTGGAATCTTCAAAATTTTTTTTTATTCCAGTAATTTATTGCATTTTACAAGAAATATATTAAATGATATTGATTACTGATATTGGATTATTGATTACTGATATTAAATGATACTGATACGAAGTGATACTTATTATAAAGATCGTAAATAAATCAATTGTTTCAAAAAATTTCAGTTTCTGGATATAGAAAAATTTGTCGCCGATGTCGAATGAAGCGATGTTTAGATGTTGGTATGTTACCAGGAAGTAAGTTTTTTCTTCGAGATCCGTTAATTATTAATGCATTATTTAATATTCATTTGGAGCGACAATGCGTAGGTTCCACTCCTAGCATAAATAAAATCTATTTTCGAAAATCTAGACGATTCTGGCGACACACTTCTTACTCGCCAGTTGATTATCTGGCAAAATTTGCCTTTTGCGATAAGTCAGAGGAGTTTATAACATGAGAATGCTGTCATTACGAAATAAACTAAAACGATAAGCACACTCGAATGACTTCGATTAGCTTTCAAGCACCATCGACTTGATTCCTTTCGTTTGTCGACTATTTGTTGGAGTAAAACTATTATTTTCACAAAAAGAACTTTAATTTTATATATAAAATTTTAGATGTGCAAAATAAAAGGCATAAACGTGATTTCTCATATCAACATAATGAAATTTTCGGAAACAGTCAATCAGAAGTTTAGCGTTAATAGCGCTTTAAAAATTAATAATGAAGCAAAAACTACGTCAGAATTGAACTGAAATATTATAATAAATAAAAAAAAACTTTTAAATCCATCATTCAAAAAAAGGCAAAAATGGCAAAACGATTCGTTTTTCCAGAAAAATTTTTCATTCAATTATATATGGTCATCGCATCAGAACAGAAAGAATATTTCACGTTCGCTGACAGCTGCTCTCTTTCCTTATTACTTTCAGCTTATGTCGTATCGATATATTTACTGGTAACAATATTTAATAAATGGTATTATGAGTATAATGCATATTATTTCTGCAATGTTCAATAATTCAATATGAGAATTTAAAAAAATTTAAAAATATTTCAACAAAATTAAATTGTTCAGCTATCAATTATTGAAACAAATTAACAACTTATTATCACTTCTTTGCTCTAATCCGAATTAATAATACAAATCTAGTTAGGCTAATACTGCAAAAGTAAAGTAAAAATCTACAAAAATTCCTCTCTTTAAATTTTCTTCTTGGAATTTTTGATTAAAAAAAGGAAAACAAAAAACAAACCATTAGTTAATACTACACTCGTTAGAACTAAATCGATAACAAAAAAATTTAAGGCCCATTCGTCGGGAGCTTTTTCAGCTTTTCGAAGCCATCGTATCGATATTAATATATTGTTTGCCAAGGGTATTAACATAATTATTAAAATGAAACATAAGCCAAAGAAATGTATAAAGCTTGCCCAGTGCATATGAGGTAAGCGTATCATTAATAAACCCGTAAATGAAACCACCTGTAAGTTTAATTCTGAATGGTATTGTCAATGATATTCAAAAATATTCAAAATAACATCGTCATTATATATTTCGATCTTTTTCTAACAGTACACTATTTCTTCTTGCTTATTTGGCTTCATTAAATAAGAGATAAGAGATGAATAAGAGATAAGAGATAAGAGATAAATATAAAAGATCCCTCGCCTGAGAAGAATTAGTTGGACTTAGAGAGATTTTTAGCAGCCATTCGTTTGGATTCGTTTTAAGAATTCCTTTTAAGAATGAGCTCGCTTCTCTTGTTGAGAAAAGTGAAATCTAACTCCTGCTATTCAAATAGACTACCACTATGTTCCAAACCCTAGTTATTCAAAATTTAGAACGAAAAATATGAATTTCCAATAGTACCATGCGTTCAACCAAGCAGAATATAACGTTTTATAAGTTGAATAGTAGATTTTCTTGAGGAACGAGAAAAATGAAAAAACTTACCAAATTGAGAAAAGGTATCCAGATATTGATACCTGTGGAACAATTAACCTCATCATACATTCGACTATATTCAACACCAATGCAGAAGCAAGCGGTCCCAAATACTAATAAGAGAGTTGCAAAAATTAGATGAACATAAATGAAGCGAATGAATATTTTCCAAATTCTTTCAGGAATATTCAATACTGAGCAACCAGTTAATTTCTGAAATCCTTAATTTTTTAATTGCAAAAAGATTTTTAAGAAAAAAATATAAGTATAAATAAAGATGCCATGCGAATCATTTGAAAACGAATCACAAATTTCCCCATAAACGATAGAAACTAGCTTTTAAATTGAATAAAAAAAAAATTACCAATCTCTCGGTTTTCCACGGTAGATTTTCCAATACTTTTCAATAGTTTTCACTAAATTCGTACCATTGAGGCTGATGGGAACCCATTCGTATTTCTAACCCCCAACTCGGTGGTGAAAGGGTCAGATCTCTTTAACGCAGCGTCTGCGTCTTTCGACACGCATGATACTTCTAATTCAGTGGTACATGCGATAAATATACGATCCGGGCATAATAATAATTTAATGACTTGATGATAGGACATGCTCGCAATGGAAGATAATTTTATTCAGTGAGATGCGCCAAAGGAGACGACAACCTATTTTCGTTAATATTTTATAAACACGACGAGGTGCTTGGAATGTCAAAACGCTTATAGACGTTGCAAGCCAAGGAATCATTGTCCACATTTCTAAATACCGCGTAGATGTGGCCTGTTTGTCGAAGATCTGCTTCCTCATGTTCGCTCCCGAGTAATTATTAAATCTAATTCCGATCAATGATATTGGCTATATCACTGTGGTGTCTCGGATAACTAAGGGGGAAAAGGCATAGTAATTGTTATGCTTAAAAAGACTCGATCCACACTGACTGAATGGAAGCCAGTAAATGACTGTATGGCTTAGAGAAAGTTCCGGGCGTTCCAAGGGAAAGTTTTGCAATATTTCGCTCATCAGTATATGCTCAAACTTTGGCCGATATGCGCAGATGACCGCGATAAGGATAAGTTCTATACGGAAATGTTAAAAACATCTCTACCGAGAGATGACATGCACATAATCGGGGGAGACTGGAATGCGCGCGTCATGACGCCGTTACGATTACTTCGGTGATTTGCAAATATGGTATCGGGGTCCAGTGCGCCAATGGAGAACACCTTCTTAGTTTTGCCGAACAGCACAAGCTCTTTGTTACTAATGCATACTTTTCGCATCGGAGAAGATATCTATCTAGCCGCGTGGAACTCTCCGGATAACCAATATTCCAATGAGATTGACTATTGGTCAGTCGCCGCTGGAAGAATTTTTTACTTGATTGCATAAAATACAATATAGCAACTGACAAGTCGTAAGAAACAATGTATCCCAAGATCTTGCAACTATCCCAAATAAAAGATCTGGGAATAAGCGCATTTCAAACCGAATTATTGAAACAGTGAAATGAATGTCTATGACAAGGAAATAGTGGATACTGGTCCCAACTAATGACGTGCTCACGAAACTCAGCCACTTCCATACTAGGATATACTAGTAGGAAATGCGCTACTTGGGTGTTAATTGTCCAACTATTTGAAAAAGCCCGAATGTCAGGAAATCCTGACTATCGGGTACTTCGAAGAATTACCACAACAGCAGCGCAGGATAGAAATCACTGTTGGAGCGACATGATCTTGAGAATGGAGACGGCGGCTCGGTTAGGTGATAATAAAAAATTATTCCGCCTTCATAAAGCAATTATAACTCGAGAAACAGCCAGGGAAGTGTTACAGAATAGTAATGGCGAGTCTATTAAGGTGACAGAAACTTTTTGAGGCCAAATTTAACGCAGTTGTGCCATCTGTTATCCCAGATATAGCTTCTTCGTTCGTCGGGCTTGCAACTGTGAACCACCAACAAAAGAGGAAATAATCTCCGTAATCCATAAGCTTAAGGCCATTAAAATCCCCGATGAAGATGGTCTTCGGCTAAACCATTCAAATCATTCATCTTCATTCTTAATTCGCCTTCACCAAATATTTTCTCTAGTATGACAAAAAGAAATAATACCAGAAGACTAAAGCAAAGCAATTCTGTTTCCAGTTCCTAAGAAAGGTGATAAGATGTACTGCGACCGAGGAATCAGCCTACTGGATATCTCCGGAAAAATTTTCGCTTCCCTTCTGCTAAATAGATTCATAGCAATAAGAGATAATAGAATGCGTCCTAACCAAGTTGGATTGTGTTGACCAGGTATTTACGCTAAGAAGGGTGCTGGAACATCGTTTCAAACAGTTTCTTGCTTTATCGATTAGATATCTTCGATTCGATTGATTACGCTCTGGAAAGTGATGGAATGTAACGGAGTCCCAGAGAAAATCATTTAACTTTTTATCAACATACCTTGGCATAGGTCTATGTATGGGGAACTGAATAACCCTATAGAAATAAAAACTGGTGCTCGTCAAGGATGCGTCCTTTCCACTATAATATTCAACTGTGCAATAGATAACTGGATAATGGACATAACTTAAGAGCCGGCACTTAAGAAATATGCAAATTAGTCCAGAGCATAGTATCGCGAACTTTGAATACGTTGGTGATATAGTCAGTTTTGCTGGCAATTATAATAAAATGCGAACAATGTGTCAATAACGCAGCGAGAATTGGATTTAGAACCAATGTAAATAAAAGTATTTTCGTCTTATATACAACAAGCTGATAAAATACCTATTTTTATCAACTCATTGCAGATTGAGGAAGTACTAAGACTTTAAAAAAAGGAAACACCGCGTACATAGCACGGATTCGTTCAATCTTGCTATATGGCTACGAGACATGGCCAATGAGATTGGAGGATATTAAGAAATTATGTCTTTGACCACTCTGTTTAAGATACATTTTACGGGCTCGCCGAGTGGACAAAAATTCACATCCACCTTCATTCACCATTTGCATTAATATTATCATAGCGTCTTTGCTGGTTAGGGCATATTTTCTCTGCCGTTCACCACAGGAGTTGATGTATATTTCGCTACTTACCAAACCCTAAGATGATTGGCGTTAAAAGCGAGGAGGGCCAATTAAGACTTGGATTGATATAGTCAGGAAAGATTTTGAGCATATAGTGGGGACTAGCGATATATGGACTTAGGTGATGGAAAAAGGAATGGTTTTTATTACTGTTAGCGATGGCGTTGTATGGAAGAGCTTGGAAACATCTTACTCTTGTAACTAGCGGAGCCATGGTGAAAGTTGTCAATTTTAGATTTTCCAATATTTTTCAACAATTTTCATTTAAATATTTCATGGGTTAAAAAAGCGATTTTGGTCCACAAATACCCGTTTATACTTCAGATGACTCCTCTGGCGAAAGAGTGGCCCTCTATCAATCAACTGTAAATGCTAATGTAAAAATAGTAGATGTTAAAAAAATAAAAAAAAAGACCAACTTGATCAAAGCGTACAATTGCTAATGTAATATTTTCATTGATTTGGTAAAGTACCATTCGAATAAAAAAATAAATTCCGAGATGAATTAGAAATCGAACTTTTTCTAAATTTCATTTATTAATGGATCAAAATTGAAATTTTATCGATTTTTGGTTTTTTCTGGTCTATCTTTGGTACCAAATTTCACCATTATTTCGAAAAATTGTTAAAAATTTCTTGAATAAAATAGCTTTGCCCATTATTTGATGCTTTCAAATACTATTTAAATATTAATTTATTAAATATTTAATAAAGAAAATTTCGAAAGAATTTTTTGAAAAAAGTAAAAAATATTTCAAATTTTTGCAGAAACAAAGTAAACTAAAATGAAAAATGGTTCATCGATGAAACAGTGATCATTAAACAAATTTTTGGCATATAAATAATATAATCGTATTAAATATTCGATGAGATAATACCGCAAATATTTTGATTGATTTCAAACATCTGGTGAATTTCTTAAAAAATATGAATTTCTTAAAAAATATGAGTTTTTGGAGCTTAAAAAACCAACTAAAAAACAAACTTCCCTACGACAACATTGAGGATTCAAGATTTTCCCCTCCAGTTCACCACATAAGTACCAACACGATTAATAGAAGGGATTTTTCAATTAAATCTGATATTTCGCAAGTGTTTATACCATATGTTACCATTTATTTCAATCAATCAATTTTATTATTTTATTAAATGAATTATCTAAATTTTATAAATATTAACAAAAAGAAACTATTGAAAATGCATTGTTTGCAAATGATTGTTTACTTTGTTTAAAACTATTTCTACGAATTTTATGAGTTTTTACATTATCATTAAATTCAATATTTAAAATGGAATTAATGAAATCATCGCACCGATTTACCAGAATATCGGTTTCAGTTATTTATTTATTCTTAAATATCAGGGCGCTCAAAACGATAGGTACTTAGTTCAGCATCCCTGCATCTAAAATAGAGGTAGATTGGTGCTGGAAGCTCATCTATCGCCAGTGACTCTCTATCGAAAGTCACTCGTCCTTAAAACTCATTTAATAGATGGCTAACGCTCACCATTCCTTATTGGACTATCCCAGGTTAAAAATTTTTATAAGTGAGTCACTTGGCAGTAGAAATAAGTTAATAACACCAGGATTTTTCAATAATTTTGGAATGAGTTCCTTTGGAATGTCATCTCAGACTCACTTCGAAATAGGTTCAATCAGTGGCTAATTTTCGTTTTTAAAAATGTGGTTCAGATATCAAATGTCGAAAGGCTTTCGCATCGAAATTAAGAAGTACTATGATGAAATGAAAAGAAAACCCAAGTAAATGGTTCAACAACCACAAAAAATTGGTTAATATTAAAAGAATTGCATTGCAAAATATTTCCCTTTAATTTTATGTCTCTGGACAGTTTTATTCATAGGATTCATCCATTAGGAAACTTTTTCCATAGTTAGCTGATTTACTTACTGTGTACTTTCTGCACACTTTATACTTGTATTTCCATAAAAATAAAATTTATTTTTTTATACTTAATGTAATTAATTGTAGACATTGCGCTGGATTGCGCTGGAACTTGGAAAGCGCTTAACAGCCAGTGAATTTAGCCAAAAGAGATGTGATGCGTGGTTTTAGACCAAAATTCCTCTCGCTAATTCCACGAGTCCTCTTAAAATAATAGGAACTGATCTTTAGGGAAGTATTCAAAAATGGTAAAACAGCATCAGTTGTGTACCTAGTTTGGCTAAAGCTTTTGATACTGTTTCCCATAGCAAATTATTGATCACTCTTAATAGTTATGGCATTACAGGGGCCCTTTATAACTGGGTGTCAGATTACATAAAAGATAAAAGACCGTCACCAAGCCATGCTCGTCAATAATACTCTTTCTGACACAGAAACTGTTAAATCTGGTGTTCCCTAAGGTAGTTATATTGCGCCATTGCTTTTTCTATTATAAATATTATATATAAATATCATTATATATAAATGATATCACCAATGTGGTACCATTATTAATTACTATAACTATTATTACTATAATTCTACCATTTATCTTCATCCTGATGATTGTAAAATTTATTATTCTCATGGTGAGACAGGGACAAATAGCCTATTTCCACAGCAGAAGGATCTTAACAGAATAGCCAGCTGGCTATATGACAGGCAAATTACCCTTTCCTTTCAAAAATGCAGCATTCTTCATATCAATTCCAAAGGTTCCAATTTTTCTAATCTTATTATTAATGGTAATATAATAAACAGAGCTTCACACATTTCCGACCTTGGTATAATCGTGGATGAAAATCTCGATTTCGACCTTCACTGCAGAACCATAGTAAAGAAATCCTCAAAAATATTAAATTTTATTTTTCGTTCATTTAGGAACAAAACTGAAGATTTCCTTAACTGAAGAAAATGTACAAAGCGTTCGTTTGTCCACTTCTTGACTACAGTGCTACATGTTACTCCCCGAGATATCGTAAATCAAGTAAAATAATTGAAGGACTCCAAAAATATTTTATATGGCACCTCTCTCCTAATTGTGGTTTTAATTATAAAAGAAAACTTCTAATATAACCTGGATTCTTCAACAATATAACCTGTCAGTTCGTCGTATTAAACAAGATTTAATTTATGATTTTGTATGGTTATGTTAAATTAGATTGTTCAAAATATTATAATTTTAGGTTAAATTTAAATCCAACAAGAACTAACGGGCTAAAAATACTAAAACCTATGTGTAAAACTAAACTAAGGACTCACGATTTCTTTATTCGTAATATTAATTACTGGAATAAACTACCGAACGATATAGCTTGTGCCCTATCCCTAGCTATCTTTAAAAAAAGAATAGATATTATCATAAATGATATAATTTAAAATGTTCAGACCATGCAGGAAGTGTGAAGTCTCGATTTTTACCATCCGATTATAGTTATTTCGAATTGTACTATATTGTATTATCTTGCAATATCCTCTTTATTTCATCTTTAAATTGTTTATTTTTATTATTATTTTTTCTTTTTGTCATTTATTTTTTTTATTTATTACTTTAACCGTTGTTATTAATACAAGCACATGGCGTTAGCGCCTTGCTCGGCTTGCTTTCAATAAATAAATGGTAAAAATTTGTGGAACAATGAAACTGTTATGATGTTAATTAAACGAAATTGATAGTATAATTTTTCAATTTGTATTGTACTCAAAAAATCTGATTATACAGCATATACATCTTATATTTTTGATTTCCAAAATTATTTCTAAATAAAAAACTATAAAAAAATCCATAAAAATTATCGAATTTTCGCAATAGTTCACCTAAAATCATTTTTCATGCATTGAATTAATTATGATTATGAAAAGAAAATATTAAATAAAATATGGAGTTTTTCTTCAAAAATATTATTAAAAAATAAGCCATGAATATGTAAATGTGATTAGGCACCATCCACTAGCTATTAGGCCACTAAAGAGACTCTTTTACTATAGAGGCCTGAAGGCAGCACCAACATTTTTCGACATCATAATTAATTAAATTAATAAGAAATAATGTTAGATAATGAAAAATAGAAAAGAACACTAGAAAAGAATATATCGTCAAAGCAATACTTTTTCTTCTAATCATCTTTCATTAGCATCTTTTATAGCAAAAGAAATCATCAAAACAGAAGAAATATTCTTTTACGATTCGTAATTTAATTATTTTTTTCTTTTTGCTTGATGTTTCCATAACGATTTTCCAGATCTGGAATTAAAATTCATAATAATTGAAATTAGCCTATACAATGTTTCAAATACTGAGGACATCTTCATCCTCAAATGAGTCCCTGGCGAAGAAATCTTATCCTAATAGTCAGCCAGAAGAGAGTGCAGCCAACCAAAAGAGAAATAGTGAGAGCAGTTAAAGAAAAAAAATTACACTGTTGCTGGTTTTTCCATTATTTATTTTTAAAAAAATCACTTTATAATTTTCAAACCAATAATTTATTTTTCCCTAAATTTCTCTTCATTTTCCAGAAAAAGCAATAATTTTTAAGAAATTTTAAAATCAAAATAAAAATTAAACCTTAAAATTTTCGCCATTTTTTTACTAATTAAAAAGAATGATGCTTCTCGACGAGTTCAGACAATCGTTTCTCAAAAATTTCACTAGAAATCACGTTCGACGGATCAATTAAAGGATTTTTCACAACAATATCCACATATAACTGCAATTTATTATTATTTTTACCTTCAATTAAGCAAAATCAATTAAATTAAATAAAAATATTTAAAAAATTTATCATAAAAAATCAAACTTGGAAAATCATTCGCATCAATTCTGATATGCCACTCGCTAGTGGATCTGTATTCAAAACCATTTTCAAACCGCTTGGAGTTTCCAAATAATTCATTTTGTACTGATTTGTCTCGTAACTTTTTACCTGTTGCTGCCTACAAATAATGAATGAACTAAACTTAAAACTTTTACTGATCGAAAAAAAACCCTTATAATACAAGTGCTAACAAGTTATTAACGATATTGTTATTGTCTCAGTCAATTCCAACTATGCAGCGTAGTATTCGAATAAGAAATCGGTTAACTTCAGCCGGTTAGTTCCGCTTAATTTTAAGTCAGTTCGCGAAGTCTACATACAAGAAAAAAGTTCTGAGCATAGTTATTAATGTTTCGTTTTAAATTCTATAAATTTTAAAAAATTTATAGATCCATCTTTTCTCTAAGAAAACTCTTTGAGAATTTCTAAAAAAATCAGAATTAAAAAAAATTATCGTAATTAAATTTAAAAAAAAAAAAATTAGTTTTCATGAAAAATTGCGAAAATCTATATGTACTATAATTCAATTAGATTTTATTGAAGAATAACAACAAAACCCGCTTTTCGTAGACAATTTCGATGAAAACGATCGAAGCGATAAGAGCATTCCGTACATCAGTCTGAATTCCTAAAATATTTCTCCTTTTTTGATTATAATTTTTTAAATTATTCAACTGATTTAAATATTAATATTATATTATTTGAATATTTTAAAAATAATTTTTTAATTTGTAATTTTAAATAGCATTATATAATGAAATATTCGTTTACTCAAGCAAGTTTACTAAGCGAGTGGTTAGCGCTTCTGGTTAGCCTGGTTCCCCTAGCTGACTAAAAAGTTGCTTTTCGCCAAAGAGGCAATTGATTGGCGAAAAAAGTGTCGCCATCACCAGCAGGGCTTTTGGTGACTCTTTTTCCTGTCGCAACCAGACGACAATCGTCCTCAACACGACGATATGAACCACTATCTACTCAGCTAATGCTCCTTATCATTAAATTAACATTAAAAAATCGTGCAAGTAACCAAGTAACCCTCTGGCAAAATTTTTTATCGCAATAACAGTGAAATGAGACGAAATATGACAATTACTCAAATACATTTTTTTGTATTTGAAACTTTGCGAGGAGCAAGAATGATTGAAGTGGAATAGGTGATTAGGGCCAAGTTATTGACAAAAAATATTAGCCAATAGTTAAATTAAAAGTTAAAAGTGGGAATTTCAGGAGACTTTCGTTATCATATCATTTCCGTTATGATTGCGCGATAAGAAACTTCGCATGATGATAAAAAAAAGTTTAAATAAAAAAATAAAATTTCAGGTAAACAACTTCATCTTTCGACATGACTGCTTCCTTTTCACGTTTCCATTCTTTATAACTAACACAACAACCATCTTTATTAAATAAATAAAAATTATAGATTGTCATTCGATCTGAAAAAAAAAAAAAATTACTGATTGCTGATTAGATCAATCACGGAAATCATATTGAGTGAGCCACTTCAGCTGAGGACAAACAGCATGAGACCTTCCTTCCCTATATTGGAAGGGAAGCTATCATCAAAAGTAAAGTGCAGATAGATGCTGGTGACCTGACTGTACTCCTCTCGCCGAGTAGCTTTCTGGAGAAAAGTTCGTGCCAGAAACAGGATTTTATGCAGGATTATATTAAGAAAGGAGAAAAGGAATAAAAGAAAAAGAGAAGGAAAAAGAAAAGAAGGAAGAGAAGGAAAATGACCGACAACGAGTACTTTAGGAACGAATTCAGTAAACCAGTTTGACCTTTAACCACGGTAGACATCTGACCTCTAAAATTTCGTAATCTATTATATAAACCTTACAATCCAGCATAACGATTATTTACGTGTTGATTGGTACTCAATTGCTTGCCACAGGAACGGCCAGGATAAATGACCATAAAAGCCTCGCCCATCTCATATTCATTTGACGAACCAATTGGCTAGAATTAAAGAGCATACCAATCGTTATGCCATTATGCGCGCAACTGACAGATACCACCTGACCCATTGACCCTTAACCTACTTCAGCTGACTTTCCCAGTTCTCCTATAAATAGTTCCATTAGCACGAATTAGAATCTTCAAAATTACTGAATATCTCTATTGCGTTCCATCAAAACAGCTTTCTTTTCTCACTTTTCCAACATTCCTACACTCTCTAGCTGATCTCCTGTCTACCAAACCTCTAATCCAGCGGTGTTCTTTTTCCGCCAGAAGTTTTCTTTTTTTCTCTGACGTCATAATTTTGATGGCGTGCTTATGCGTCGATATATTGCTGTTGGAAGTGTGCGTGTTCGCGTTGCGTGTTTTTAATAACGAAATTTTTTGTGGGCTTGATATATTTTTTCTTTCAGTTTTGGTTTCAGTTTCGTGGTTGACCTTTGGGTGACCTCGAGGCGATGTCGCGTGGCCTCGAGGGTGCTGTCGCGTGACCCCTGGTTGACCCCTAATGGAGTGAAGCAAAAAATCATTTAATAGCCTTTTAGTTCTTCTTTATTTCAAAAAATGTAAAAAATGTTATTTTCTTTCCGAGTGAAAGCCTGGGATAGATCTGAGCTATTTCTTCCCCCAGTAGCTGCGTGGTGAAAGAGTCCGTCGTTTTGACTTAGCGTTCAGGTTTGGTGGTACCAGCAGAACAATCCAGCTAGGCTAACTGCTCTAAATCTGTCAACGCGGCGAGGTATTGGCCTTAGAACCGTAGCTGTGCATGGACGTGCGGGGCAAGTGATCACTGTCCGCACTGTCCAAGTATCATGTGCCTCCTTATTAAAAGCTCCTGTTGGAAGTCCTTGTTCCGTGGACTAGTTCAGTTATACCTGGCTTGAATAGAGTTACTGGCTGCATCATCATGATGCCTCAGATAATTCGAGACGAATTGGGGTAACAATTATTAGAGCATTAAAGAGCTGTAATTGGTGGAAGCGAGTTAATGGCTATTAAGCCTATGCTCGTTTAAAGCAAGGGATCGCAGTGTTTCGATTATCAGTAGGTAATTTATGCGCAGGTGGCTGTGATAAAAATAGGTTCTTTGGGGGAACTCCATCTACATTTTTTCCGAAAGGCGACGTCGTCGTCGTTGGGGGGAAAGCTGACATGGTGTTGTGATTGGCGAATATTGCAGCAGCGGAGAGCTCCTTCGTTTTGAGGGGCCACTGCATCTTTTGCGCATCGTAGAAATCATCTATTCACACAGAACTCTGCGGATAACCAGTATTCCTGCTAGATTATCTCCTAGTCAGTTGTCGCCCAGCTATACTGGACAATCTTTCCTGTTGCAGTGCTGAAACTGGCTTAAATTAAAAAATTTAAAAAAAAATTTTTTGCAAAGTTTAGAATTGAATGAAAAAAATTTCGCCGAAAAAAATTTTTATTTAAAATTTAAATTAGTTTATAATAGTTTAAAAAATTTTATAAAAAATTTCATGTAAAATTTAGAATTGAAAAAAATTTCGCAGAAAAAAATTTTTTATTAATTAATTTTTTTATTTTTATTGAATTTAATTTAATTTTTTATTGAATTTAGCAAAATTCTTGTTCTTAATTTTAATTTTGCTTATCAGTGAACTTTATTAATCTGTTTATTATTTAATTATTCTAAATTATTTTTATTCTATTTAATTATTCTAAACGGCCCATAACCGTCATTTAGTTATAATGGTATTTATCGTAGGTAATCGTGGTATTCGTTCGTTATTATTATTGTTGGCGAATGATAGATAAAAAGGTTCCCCTAGCTTTTTTGCTTATTTATTGTTTTTTGTGATTATTTCTTTATGATTATTTTTGAATTCCCTCTCTCTTTGTTTCTGGTTCTGTTTTTTTTCTGCCCTTCAAAACTATTGCTTATGTCTTTGTTGTCATTTTTTTAAAATTTCGTTTTTTAACGAATTTTTTAACGATTTTTTTTGCAAATTACTTTATCAATTTTTTATCGGAACTTTGCTTTCCATGTTTTTTTAGATCTTTTTATTAGTTATCGTTTTTTCAGTTTATGCCGTTTGAATCGTTAATATTAATATTTCATTATTTCTAAAATTAAGGAATTAAGGAAGATGAAATTTTAAAGGAAAAAAGCAAGAATTGTTGAGAAGAAAGCGTTTTTTTATACTTAAAAAATTATTGCGCTTTTTTAGAAAAAGTTTATTTTTCAGGGTTTTTAAGGATTTTTATTTCAATATTGATAAATCGACTTTATAAAAAAATCATTTTTGATTCAGCGAAGGAAGAAGAAAACGGATTGAAATCTTTTTCTTTTTTGTCTCAACGCATTTGCAATGACAGCAACCGATCAACAACAACTGATCAATGTGTTTGGTTTGTTTTTTTTTATTTTTGTAATTTCATTATTTCTTTAAATTAATTTAATTTAATTTAATTCAACCTAATATAAATCTTTAATATTTTCTTCGTGGTTTCTTTAATACTTTTAATTTAATATTTTTTTCGGTTAAAAATTTGAGGGAATTTTTTTCACTGCTCAATGTTATAAGTCTTTAGGCTAAGTGGTAATTTTTAAAGATTCACTAATTTAAATGCCATTTTTTATGATTATTTAAATGATTTTATTTTAGGTAAGGTGTTTCCTTTAATTTATTGGTTAAAAATTACTAGAATAGAATAGAAGTAAATAATTATTAGCAATATGCGTTAATTATATTATAATTGTAGTCGTTCCGTTGTGTTGCGAACGATATCTTTTATGTTTCCTCGGTAAATATATAGGAGCGCTAAAAAGATGACCTTTGACACTTAGTAAGAAGCATTCGGAGCGTGCGGTTCAATAAAACATAAAGTTGATTGGTTTTGACGTAGTTTAATAATCACTAATTTTTCCCGATTTATATTTTTCATTTCTTAAATCATGGAGATTTTAAAATTTAAAATTTGAATAAAAAAGATAATACAAAGAAGGAGGAAGGAAGGCACTTTTTTTGCCTATTTTATTTGATTTTTTGGTAATTCATTAGGATAATTTGGAATTTTATGATCATTTCATAAGATTCTTATGATTCAGATTTTTTCTTTTGCTATTGGCTGTAATGAATTTTTTTTTTCGCTACCTCGCTTTCGCGTCTTCTCCATTTTCTTTTGAGATTTTCTTTGATGAGCTGTTGGTGAATGAGAGATCTATTTTCAGTTTCATATGTTGAACTTTTTCAGAGGCACTCAACCTTACTGATAATCAAAATTTGAATCCGAATAGTGTACAGCCGTTTGTTCCATTCATTCCTTATCCATTGCATGGCCAATACCAACCAGTGACAAGTACACAGCAGCTCACCACGACTAATCCAACTCAGGTGCAGTTTTTTGTGCATTATTCTTGTGGGTTCATTTTAGGGAAAATTTCATATTTTTCGTCTTTTTCCTTGCTTTTTATTTTTTATTAACTTGTCAAAAATAAAATTTTTATTTTAGGATTTGTATATACCTTCTTTAATGCATGGAATGCATTTAATGGTAACACCTGGAGGTGGAGGTGGTGGAAACGGTGATGGAGCAGGTGGAGCTGGGAATGGTGGTAATGGCGCCAGTGGAAGTGGAGGACATGCTCCTTATGAAAGATCTCACGGTGCATTAGCTCCTGGTGCTCCAATCCCCATTCATGAAGGTGCTCTTATTCAGGGGCCAATGCCTGGTAGTTTTTTGAAGGAAACTATTCGCAAAATTTAAGCCTGAGAAACAGTTGCGTAATGCTTGTAATTTTATTTACAATATTTTTTTCAGCTTCTGTTATTTTTCAATGTCCTCGTCGTCCAAATCATGGTGTAGAAGGTCGTTCCATTGTATTGCGTGCAAATCATTTTGCTGTTAGAATTCCAGGTGGAACTATTCAGCATTATGCTGTAGAAGTGCAACCTGATAAATGTCCTCGTCGGGTTAATCGGTATTCGCCTTTTTTTTATCAGTGTAGTTTTATTTATCGTTAATAAATGATACGAATGATTTCTTTTTGTTAGTGAAATAATTGGGACAATGATTCGAGCATATGCGAAGGTTTTTAATAATATGCAGCCGGTTTATGATGGAAAAAGAAATATGTACACCCGTGATCCTCTTCCTATTGGCCGAGATCGTGTGGAGTTTGAGGTGACTCTTCCTGGTGATACAGCTGTCGAAAGGCAGTTTACCGTTGCTGTTAAATGGGTATCAAATGTAAGTTTTTATTTCTAGTTTTTAAGTTCAGTTTTTAAATAATTAAGATTGCTTAGTTCCTAGAATATTGCTTAAAATATTTAGTTCTTATTGGTGAATAAAGTCATCTTTAAAGAATTATTTTACACGTGCGGATTTTAAGGTATCATTATCCACATTAGATGAAGCAATGGAAGGTCGTGTTCGTCAAGTGCCATTTGAATCTGTGCAAGCAATAGATGTAATTTTGAGACATCTTCCTAGCATGAGGTCATTATTCTTTTTTCATTCTTTTAATGTTTTGACGAATATTTATATATAATATATATATATATATATATATTTCATAAAATAATTTAATTTTGCGATATTTTGCATTTTTTTTTAGATATACACCAGTTGGAAGATCATTTTTCTCACCTCCTTTGGCTGGTGTGGCTCAAACACAGCATTTACAATACCATTCGGAAAGTAAGTTGGGTGGAGGCCGTGAAGTTTGGTTTGGCTTTCATCAAAGTGTACGACCTAGCCAGTGGAAAATGATGTTAAACATTGATGGTATATTTCTTTATATGTATTGTATGTAAATCACTTTTCTGAAGGTTTAAATTATGGTTTTTTCATGTAATCTGTTAAATGCTTACTTCTATAAAATTCTTTTTTAGTATCGGCTACTGCATTTTATCGCTCGATGCCTGTAATCGATTTTATGGCCGAGGTTCTCGAATTACCTTTAAATCAGCTTCAAGATCGTCGTTCGCTTTCTGATGCTCAACGTGTTAAATTTACGAAAGAAATTCGTGGATTAAAAATTGAAATTACTCACTGCGGTCAAATGAGACGAAAATATCGTGTTTGCAATGTTACAAGACGACCTGCGCAGACTCAAACGTAAATTCCAATATTTTCATTGTCTTTTTTAAAAGGTTTGAAAAGGTTTTAAGATTTTTAAATAAGATATATTATCGTGTTGATCTTAATTGTCAATAATTCCACTTACAATTTATTAAGCTTATATTTTGTAATCGCGCTGGAGATCTATTTCAGGCGCCATATTATCTAATTTGTTTCATTAGATTGTAAATTCTTAAAAGAACTTTTTTTTTAATTTCAGTCCTATTAGATTTACTATTTGAGATGTCTAAGCAGATTCAGCATTTTTATATTTGGTCAGAAATCCCAAGAACAAAGCATCCTGTCCATTTTATTTCTAGGTTTCCTCTACAGTTGGAAAGCGGTCAGAATATCGAATGCACGGTCGTCAAATATTTCTATGACAAATATCAAATACAACTTAAATACCCTCATCTTCCATGTTTACAAGTTGGGCAAGAACAAAAGCATACTTATTTACCACTTGAAGTATGCAATATTGTGCCAGGTCAGCGCTGCATTAAAAAGCTCACGGATACACAAACCAGCACAATGATTAAGGTGGTGATAATGATTAAGCACAATAATTTTGTTTCTTTTTGAGGATATAAAAGCAGATATGAAAGCAGTGCGTCACCATTTATTTCTGTTTTTTTTTTTCAGGCAACAGCGCGCTCGGCTCCAGAACGCGAGAGAGAAATATCAAATTTGGTAAGGAGGGCAGAATTTAACGCAGATCCTTATGCCCATGAATTTGGTATCGCAATTAATCCAGCCATGACCGAAGTTTGTTTAGGCATATTTCAGCATTTGATTTGTTTTTTTTCTTGTTTTTTAAAATATTTAACGATGGTCGAATGGACATGTTTTTTGACCCAGTGAAGAAGAATTTTGCATCATGAAAAGTGAATTTCCTATTCATTGTCAAAAGATTATTATTTTCCTTACGAGTGAAATAACACTGGTGTCATGGACTCGCTTGAATATTTTTTCTGTTTATGGATGGTTAATTGTCCCTCTTTAGTTGTTAGGGGCATCAGCCAAATTGGTAATAATGAGCGCTGTCAAAAGAAGAAAATTTTTGCAAAATATTTGATTTGACTTAAGAAATATGAATTTCGTTACTATTTTACTTAATGTATATATGTGATAAAAGACGATAAGAGCACTCGAACCGTTAGTTTGATTGTTAGTTTATTCTCACTGCTCTGGCCTAGCATTAGATAAATATACCAAGGAGTTCCTTGGCAATAGAAGAACAGGTAAGTCGCTAGCGTCACCACTCTGAATTGAGCAACGGCTCACTGAGCCATTCTGCTCTTTTTTATTTTATTTGTTAGGCGACATTGTCGTCCGACGAAGGGTGGTGCATCTGCGGATTCGAACCCATGCCTCGATTCTCGGTGGCATCTTTTTTGTTTGCGGTTAATTGTTAAATATAATTTTTTTACAGCAAGGTAAGGGTATAAACCATCTTGACTGATTTTTTCGAATATAAAGAATATATTTATATGTTTGGTTAAAAACTGAAAAAGGTAGCTGAAAAGCTATCTACGTTCGTATTAGAAACATTTCATTTTTTTAGTACCAAATAAGCAGTATATAAGCAATATCGATAAATTTTTTTTGCTATGGTCCAATTATATTGTTTTACTTTGTTATTAAAGATAAAGCTATGACTAAAAATGAAATTCTGAAGGTGAAAGGTCGTGTCTTGGCTGCTCCAAAACTGTTGTATGGCGGACGTACAAAAGCAACTGCTCTACCAAATCAAGGAGTTTGGGATATGCGTGGTAAACAGTTCCACACAGGCGTCGAAGTAAAAATGTGGGCTATTGCATGTTTTGCTCAACAACAGCACGTCAAAGAGAATGATCTCAGGTTTTTTTAGATTATTTTATTCTTTTAAAAATTCGCATATATTATTTTTACATATATTATTTTTTTCAGAAATTTTACTACTCAACTTCAGCGAATCTCAAATGATGCTGGAATGCCAATAATAGGTCAGCCTTGTTTCTGCAAATATGCTGTTGGCGTTGATCAAGTTGAAGCTATGTTTAAATATTTAAAGCAAACATTTGCTGGGATACAACTCGTTTGTGTTGTTTTGCCTGGTAAAACGCCGGTATATGGTAAGTTATTTAATTAGCATGATTTAACATTGGCTTGTTCTTAAATTCATTAAAATTGAGTTCTAGCTGAAGTTAAACGAGTTGGTGACACTGTTCTTGGGATTGCTACTCAGTGTGTTCAAGCCAAAAATGTGATTAAGACAACGCCACAGACTCTATCTAATTTATGCTTGAAAATGAATGTAAAACTTGGCGGAGTTAACTCAATTCTTCTTCCTGCTGTTCGACCTAGGGTGTTCAGCGAGCCTGGTTTGTCAATTAATTTTTCTTTCTATATTACATTTTTTTGGTGAAAATAAAAACTTTTCATTCCATCGACTTTTATTTTTATTGTTTTCTATGTAAATTACTTCTATTTAAAACAAAAAGTTTTTAAGAGTTGAGTTTTTAAGAATTAGTAGAATCACTATATATAAATAATTGAAATTTTATTAGAATTTAATTGTATTAAACTTGTAATAATTGAATTATTTTTCAGTGATTTTCCTTGGTTGTGATATTACCCATCCTCCAGCTGGAGATTCTCGTAAACCTTCGATTGCAGCAGTGGTAGGCAGCATGGATGCTCATCCTTCGCGTTATGCTGCTACTGTAAGAGTGCAACAGCATAGACAGGTGGCCATTTTGCTGTTTAGTTTTAAGTTTATTTCTTTATAAATGATTTGCAGCGAATTCGCTCAATGATGAAATGAATGCCTTCTAGCCTAGAGACCAATCTTTATGAATATCTTTCTACATTTTTTATTTAAAACCCGTATTTAATATTTCAGGAAACAATAAATGATTTAGTTTTTATGGTTAGAGAATTGCTTATCCAGTTTTATCGCAATACACGCTTCAAGCCTACTCGTATTATCGTTTATAGAGATGGTGTATCTGAAGGACAATTTTTTAATGTAAATAATTTATTAGTTGCAATTCGTCGTGGATTAACTTTGCCATTTTAATGGGATGCTTCTAAGTTTTATTATTTTATTTATTGTTCAAAGGTATTGCAACATGAACTGCGTGCTATGAGGGAAGCATGTATGATGCTAGAGCGTAATTATCAGCCTGGTATAACATTTATTGCTGTGCAAAAAAGGCATCACACACGCTTGTTCGCAGTAGATAAGAAAGATCAAGTAATTTAATTTTCATCATTCCTTTCTTTGATTTTTTTAAAAATAATTCTATCAAATATTCTTTAATAATTCTTCCATATATTATTGATCCTTCTATTCAATTTTTTTATACGTTTGTTTTCTATTTAAAATTCCATTTTTAGGTGGGTAAAGCATTTAATATTCCTCCTGGAACAACCGTGGACGTAGGAATTACACATCCTACAGAATTCGATTTTTATCTTTGTTCTCATGCTGGTATTCAGGTATTATTTACCTTATATTATATTATTTTCTGAAAAGATTTCTTTTGAAAATAATAAAAGGTTAAATCGAAATCATTTAAACCGAAAAAAACAAAAAAGCGATGAAAATTAGGGAATTTCCTATTGAAATAAATTTTTAAGGGTACGTCTCGACCATCACATTATCATGTTCTATGGGATGACAATAATCTTACGGCAGATGAACTGCAACAATTAACATATCAAATGTGTCACACTTATGTGCGCTGCACACGTTCTGTTTCGATTCCTGCACCAGCATATTATGCTCACCTAGTTGCCTTTCGAGCTCGATATCATTTAGTAGATCGAGAGCACGACAGGTTAAAATTATCATTTTTGATTACATTTCAAAAACTGTGCTAATTCTTATCTTTGTCCTAATTACCTTATACCTTATATTATATTATTATTATTATATTATTATTATACCTTATATTATATTATTTCCTTTGACCTAATTCATTGAATTCAATTCATCCGTAACCATTGAACAATAGTGACTTTTTTCATTTTGTTTTATTCGTGATTAAGCGAAAAAATTTTTTATTTACTTTTGTTTTATGGGATGGTGGATTCAGTCCTTTTTCTTTTTTCACTTTTCGTTTCGTCTTTGTCATGTCTTTCATATTAATTTTTTATTAAATATCTTTGATTCTTGCTTTTTTCTCTCGTCTTTTAGTTCTTCATGGTGGTTGCGCCACATAAGCAACAGAAATTTTTCTAGGATATTTCATTTCATAATTATTTTACAGTGGTGAGGGCTCGCAGCCGTCTGGAACGAGCGAAGATACGACATTAAGTAACATGGCTCGAGCTGTTCAAGTTCATCCAGATGCAAATAGTGTTATGTATTTCGCATAATCATCTTTATATCTATTTGAAGACGGCTTGCTGGAAATAAAAGTTTTTCACTTTCCATTTAGATTAGTTTGTTTCTCTTATTCTCTTACTAGCATCAATTTTTTTTTTGTTGTATGCAAATCTTATGAAAGTGCTTTCATTATTCTCATTCATTTAAAGTTATTTATTAAAAGAAACATGAAATGTTGGCTAGTAATAAGCTGTCGAATTGATCATCAGTTTTTTAGTTCCTTAATTTTTGTTATTTTAATTTTTCACAATTCAATCTGTCAAATTTTTTTCGTACTTGTTCTTTTTTTTATTGTCTTCTGCATTTATTTCAGCTACATTTGACACGTTAAAAGCATAAAAGCATAAAACCTTGAAATCCATGGGCACATTGAGTTTTCATACTTTTAGTCATTATTTAATGAAATTATTTTTTGATAAAAAAGTGCTTTTTTATTTTGGTTTGCAGTTCGGTTTTGCTTTTATTTCTTTAGTGATAATTGATAATTCGATTCAACATTTTTTGTTATTTTTTTAATCCTGTTTACATTCGGTCGGTTTAGTTTAGCATTATTTACATGTAAGTCGGAGGTGAAAGTTTGATCGTTTGATTGATTGATGGCAGTGGTCTGAATAAACTCATTGATATTTTTTGCATCTATTTGATCAGCAAACTAATTTCGTTGTGTGACGATAGGTTTTTTTTAACAATTTCCAATAAAAGGTGAAATTATGAATTATGATTTATTTAGCTTTGGAATTTTTGATAAATTAATTTCAGCCTTTGGTGATTTTAAGGTTAAAATGATGGAAAAAAAATTGCTGAATTATTGTTGGTCAATAATACTGATATGTGCAAGCAATTTGTTATGCAATTTAATAATCGTTTAAAGATTCGTCTTTCTATCTTGCACTGCCATTATTTTTTTAATTTCATTTTAATTTTTTAGGGTTTTTTAAAATGGAAAGAAATCTTTGTTCATGCTTAATTCCTGCAGAATTTTTTACCAAAAATTGTACTCTTTTTTTATGCAAAATTTTCGAATAAAATATTTTATTGAACGAAGGAAGGCATAAATAATGCGTGAGATAAGCAAACAAGGAAACGATAGATCAGGTCGTTCGAAAAATTTTTAGCTTAGTTTTCGATGCGTTGTCGGGCCAGTTATTGGAGTGATTACAGGTTCTTGTCAAGTTATTGTCGCAATTGAGCGTTGCTGCTACTTTTGGTCGCGAATGCGGGCTATTGTCATGTTATTTGTTGTCGCAAACATAGATTATTGTAACAATTGCGCGTTTTCATCTGGTTGTTGCAGCTTCTGTACAAGCGTGAACAGTTTCTCTGTTCGAAATAAAGATGTTCACGATTGACAGACTGAAATTGGCAATGCTTCATAGCCGTTTAGCAGAATTATGTGCACTGCAGGTCGAAGGTAGATAGAACTCGCCTTTAAAAGCGGTACGATTTAACCCTTGTCGTTTCTTAGTGTTTTATGTATTGCAATTTTACTGAGGACAAATTTATGTAATTTATTGTCCAGTGGACCCTTTGCATTCTCTCCTTTCGTTGTCTCTGCACCTTCTCCGTATTATAGAACGTAAAGAATAATCTTTCAATCCCAATCGAACTAATTCTATCGCGATGTTTCGTTTAGCGATTAACTTTCAATAAAATTGGTTTTGAAATCAAAAATTTTCTCTCTGTTTTTACACCACAATTTTTTATAAAAGCTAAGGATTTTTTCGAAATTTTCACAAACATTTTCCTGTTTTCCTGTTTTTCTCTTTCCTGTCGATTTCCTAGTTTTTTTAAAATTCAAATTCGTATTTTCTGCTTTTTTTTAATTTTCATAAATATAATTTTTATTTTGGATGGTTTTATTTACTTATAATTTTAAAATTTTTTAAATTCTTTTTGAGACTACTTAATTTACGAATTAGATACACGCATTTGCCAATATACCAAATTCTTCCTCAGTTCATCCTCGTCGTTATAGTTGAATTTTCAAAAATTGAAAAATTCTCGTTGAGTCCTATAACGATTTCCTGTTTTTTTTAAAATTTAAATTCGTATTTTCTGGTTTTATAATTTTCATAAATCCAATTTTTATTTTGGGTGGGGTGGTTTATTTATTTATAAGCTTTGTAAATTTGTGGGATTATTCCTCTCCTTTGGTACCATTGAATTTTGTTTTTCCCATCCTTTTCGACTTTTTTTTATTTTTTTGACTTTTCCGCAAAGTTATTTGCACTTTTGAAAATGAAAGTATGTTAAATATATTTATTTTTTCTTCTAATTTCAATAATTGTTTTTCTGAATTTCAGGGAATGATTTTTAAAAATTTTCCAGTATTCCTTTGTTTGATTCTCTCGCCGAGTTCGCTAACAACGGGTTATCGTTTAAATGTGCCTCGAGTTTTGCTGCCATTTCATCCAATGAGTCAAGTCAAATTTAATCTGATGGTTACCGACCCGGACGGCGGTTGCTTTAAATGGTTTGTTAAATTACTTGGCTCTCTCTTTTCTCAATTTTATCAATTTTATCAACGAATTTACCGTAGTAATGCAGTAATATAGTCGGCAACAAATGGCGTCGCGTCGCCAATGTGACAGCCTTTCATTTTCACCATTGTCTTTTTCATCTTTTGCACTAGAAAGGAAGTTTTTATAGAAAAATTTAAATTTCTCGATCATTTTCATTGAAATGAGTTTTTCTTCATTTTTTTCGTCTAACTTCTCTACACATCTAAATAGACTTTACTTCTTAACATCTTATTTATTACTTTTTTTTTCTCAATCTGCTTCATATTTTGAGCATAATTGGTCAAATCTTCTTGTTTTTCAGCTGTTAGAAGCATAATTTTGACAGTTGGTGTTGGTCAGTTGCTCGCCTGTCGAACACTACCATCATTTGGATTAGTATATTTTTATGGCAGTTATGGCTTAAGTTGAGCAATCCGTTAAATCAAAATTTTAATTTTATATTGCATTTCTAATATTTTAATGAACTCTTATTTTTTTTTCTTGCGAATTCCAATTTTTTTCATTGTTTTATATTATTTTTCATTCTTTGGTAATTTTTGCTTTTAGATTTTTATTTTTCGCAAAAATATATTCAAGATTATGTTATATGATAAGTATTTGACAAATAAGCAATTAAAAATTTTTTGTATTCCGTTATATTTTTGATTGTAGGCGATCAACACGGCCAGACATTGTCCAAGTAAAGGCAATAAATGAGAGTGTTAAACATTCATGTAGTGATAAAGCTGAAATTATTGTGATTTCTAAGTACGCTGATGAACAAAATGTTATGATTTTTGCTGAAAACAAAGGTGAAATTTATTTGATTGGATTTTGGATTTTTGTATTTGGTATATTTTTATAGTATTTTCATAAATAAATCGAAATTAGATCGAATCGAAAATAAGAATTTTTGAAAATTATAGCCGTAGATACAATATTGAGTTGTGGAGTAACGGTAGATGTAATTCGAAGTATTTCTATTTCAACGACAACAAAAGTTTTATTTTTGGATGCTTCACCGGTTCAGCTTGTGATACAAGCCTTTAATAAAGAAGGTATTTCCTTTCGTTTATCATGTTTTCGATTTTTTAATTTTATTTAGCAGTTATATTTCTTTATTTAGACTGATGAGTTAGAATAAAATACTGAAAACAAAGGTGAGATTTATTTGATTTAAAATTGTAGCTGCAAATACAATGTTGATATATTTAGAAACTTATATTATTACCACTTACACTAGTTTCTTTCCAGGTGATATGTTTACAACTTTGGGTGAAATTCCCTTTGAATGGCAAATGGAGGCTAATACGTCCCAAAAGCCGCTTCGAATCGTTTCATTCTCTCAATCTAAATACGAAACACCTGAAGGTATTCGCTATCTTGAATCACTGAAGAAGCGAGGTATCTATTTTTATTTCATTTTTTTTAGTATTTTTCTTTAGTACTTCTATTTTTATTTTTAAAATATTTATGATAGGTTATACAATTTTGGTCGAAGGTATTTCGCCAGGTGCTGCTGTGGTTAGAACAACATTGAAATCTGAGGTAAAATGAAAATATAAATTTTCATATTTATTTTATACTTCTATTTAATTTATAATTTATAATACTTCTATTTAATTTATTATAATTATATTTATATCTGCACTTACCTTATTTATTTTTTGTTATCGTGCTTACCTTGTTTTTTCGCTAGATTCGCCTCTAAATAAAGGAGATTTGCCTGCTATTTTAAATATAAATTTTGGAATGGTGAAGTGAATTTTGGAAAGATTAGGTATTAGTAAAGCTTAGTGTATTTTTTATCTCGATATAGCTTTCTATATTTTCCCTTTCATAATTGATGTTGGTTATTTCCCATAGGAGCAAAATGGCAAAGTATTTGCATAAGTAATTTCATTTCTAAAAAAAACTGTTAGAATGAGTGTTAAGTTATCGGATTTTATTTCCACTGAATGAATGAGATGTCCAGGTATTTTCATCATCCTTACTAATATTTTATATTCACACATTAATATTTTAAAATTTAAAAGTTTGTTCGTTATTATTGTATGTCGATGATTGCGTGCAGTTGACGATCTCTTAATTTTTAGAAGGTTTGGATATTTCAAGATGGGTGATGAATAAAATTTTCGTTAGAAGAATGTCCTTATGCATTTAGATTAGAATTAGAATTTAGAATCAGAAAAACTGAGCTATTATAAGTTTAGACTAGTCTTATATGGCGTACAAGATTTTGTGTGAACCTTGGTTCTAATCTTTTTTCTGTTTATCAACAATGGTGAAAAACATTCAGTGACTTTAAACGTGAGGCCTTTCAAATTTAAAAACGAAGAAGTTAAAATTTCGGTAAAAGAACTTTGGTAAGAATGACTTTGGTAAGAATGACTTTGGTAAGAATTTGGTAGAACGAGTTGTAGTTGTCATTTCGGAGCATAATATTGGAACTATTAGCAGTAAAGCTATTTCTGCAAAATGTAGATAATATTGGTGATTCATTTGTACATCAAGTAAATCCGTAGCAAAATTTTGTCTGTCTAGTCCTATAGACCACTGAAGCAAACGTAAATGGTCGGTCTTTTTAGAACAAGAAAAAAAACAAGCTGTTTTAAAATGTTTTGGAACAAGCTTGCTAAAGAAGTATTTGTTACAGATCTGCTGAAATTTATCAGATCTTTTTAAATTCATTCACAACTTATTTGTTTATTCGCTGATTTGTTTAAATTGATTCACTGATTCACTGATTTACTTTATTCACTGATTTGTTTAATTTTTTTTTTTTAAATTGCCAATATTTCAATTTTTTTTTCTTAATTCGATTTTATAATTTATAATTTAATTACCATAGTTCGAATTTATAATATAAAATCTCGAATGAAACATCGTTCAATTAATCACATCCATAAAAAATAATCAGCTGATTTTTAATAAGCGACAGGATGTTTTGTCTGACAGCATCGAACTTCTCATTGTGGCTAATTTGCTTTTGATACCATCAAATGATCTCTTTATCACACTTGGTTCTCGGGTTCATTATTCTGCTGAAATTATAAAACAATCTTCGACCGAAAGTTAGTTATATAGATTATTATTACTATTTTTTGTTAGAATTTTTATTTAGAAATATTTTTTACCTCAATTTAGTATTGAATATTTATTGATTATTGATAAACTTTTTTTTGATAAAGTTTCTGTAAAGTTTTTTTCGTCAACATTTTTCAATATTTTACAGAGATTATTTTTCCGTCGAAACAATATCGTTTAACCGTTAGTGACACATCTGTTTGTTCTATTAATGAAGATTCTTCTTATGTAACGGCAATTGCATTGGGCTCAACAGAGATTGTACTTATTGATGAAAGTATTTTTTTATAACAAGAGAAAATTGTAAATGTAAAACCTACTCTAATTTTTTTAGAAATTTAAAGAAATTTTAATTTACATTTAATTTCCATTATTTTCAGACGCCAAATCATTAGCTCTTATTAAACCACCTTCGTCTCATATCCATGTTGTTGAACCTGCATCAATAATTTTCATGATTAGTGGCGATTCATGGCATTTGCAAAAAGGCAATGAATATATTGTATCCGTGGTAATGACTGATTCTCTTGACAACACTATTTTCATTTCTGATGTATGTGGTTTATGAATTCATTTTTAATTTATTTACTCTTACTTATTTCAAAAATTAGTTTCAAAAAATTAGTAAATTAATATTTTCAAGTATTTTTAAGTAGAGAAAGCAAATCTTAATGTATTTTCTTTCCCATTTGCGTTCACTTATAGTTAATCTATTTATTTGAAATTTAGAACGTTAGGTTTGAAACATTCTTCTCTGAAAATTTTTTTCGAATATCAGAACAGTCGAAGAATGGAACTTACTTCGTTGTATCAGCTATCAGTCATGGAGTCACCAGAATATCTTCCAAATTCTCATCAATATTTGATGCGGTAATTAATTTTTCATTTAGTGGTCAAAAATATCTTAAAGGCATTGGCAACTTAATTAAATTTCTAACTTAATTAAATTACCATTTGATCGTGAATTACCGCTAATCCAATTTTTCTGCGATTGAATAAAAAAGTTACATGTGGCAATTTGTTGATATTTTGATGTATTTACTATTTTATGTCAGAAGAAGTGTAATTTAACGTTTGGTTTTGATTTAACGTTCAAAAGAACTTTTTCCCTTTATTCATTCAACCCAGCAATTATTAAAAATACAAAAATTGAAGAAAAGTGAAGTGAAAAGTGAAAGTGAATGACTAATGAAATTTCAATTTAAAAAATTTCAGACGGAAAAAGTATTATCACCTGGGATCAGTTGTGAACAAGTTGTGACAATATCTCTTCCTATATTCGTTGAACCATCTCTGGTCGTATTTCCTTATTTTAATGATGACACTAGTTACAGCTGGAACTTGACGGTAAAATATTTAATCTTAATTAAAATAATTGTAATTAAATTTCAGATTATAATAAGTGATGGTGGTTATATAAACTGCAAAAATATTTAAGGCCAGTGGAGGAACTGGGATGTATACATGGTCATCTTCTAATCCGGAAGTTGTTTTTGTATCAGGAAATGGTGTCGTGACGTCTTTAAAGAATGGTAAAAGTCACATAATTGCGAGGGATTTTCGCAATAGAGCACATTTTGGTAAAGCAGATGTTTACGTTGCATCACCAATAAAATTATTATTTGTTAAATCAGTTTTAGAAAGCCAGGTAAATTCAGATGTTTCTATTTATATTTATAAATATTAATAAATAGAATAAATATACCTTTCATCCTTTCTAGTTGGCTGGCTCCATTGATTGGTGGGATAAGTTTTTCTTTGCCAATATTTCCTTTTAGAACAGATATACTGATAATCGGATTTTTAATGACGGCTGTATCAAAGGACAAAGGTCTATAATGGTGTGATTTTAGTTGTCAGTGGACCATCAACCAGTTTTTTTTTGATTTATAATTTATTGATTTACAATTTCATGAATTTATTCTTTTTAAATTCAATTAAGACTTGATTAATTATACTTAAAGATATGAAATCTCTGCAATCTTTTCACCTTACTTAAAATCTCTTAAAAAAATCTCCATTATAATTTTTTTGGATAAATTTAGCATCTTTCATATTTTTTCTTTTTAGGTTGGCTCTTTTTTGGAATTACATTTGGCTATTCTTTTGCAATATGGAGATTTAACAGCATACGCTAAAGATTGTCAGAAAGTTCCTTTTGCCTTTACAATTGCTGATGTCAATATTTTTAAGTCGATTGATGGTTAGTTATAAGTCTAATTTATATCAATTTAAGTCTAATTTAATTCGACTTAAAATTTGATTCTAATCTATTTTTTGATTTAAATTCTCGGAATTCTCGGAAACTTCGAGATATAAATCGTTTTTTAGTTTCCTTTTTATCCTATTTACCTATTTATCTATTTACATATTTACCCAGATTTTACATCATACCGTTCGCCATTCGATAACGCTTGTTCAAGTGTAAAATTAATGGCACTGAATGAAGGAGATACGAAAATAACTTTTTCGCTCGGGAACCTTTCCGCTACCACTTATATTTCTGCTTTTTCTCCATTACAGGTTCATTTCTTTTTTTGGCGTTTTCAATAATTTTCTTTTTGTTTTCTTTTTCCATTACTAAAAAATTTATTTTTTCTTTGATTTTGTTAATTTCTGATGAAGAATTGTTTTTCTCGTTTTATTTTCCTTTTTTGTATTGTTAGGTGGTACCAGCATCAGAAATTCTGATAATGCTTGGTAGCGAAACAGCTATTGAATTATTAGGTGGACCACGACCTTGGATCGTTGATCCTAGCAAATATTTTTCTAAAGGTTGCCTTTTTTTGTTTTGCTTTCCATTTTGTCTTATATTTTACAAAGTCTTTGGGATCAAAAAAATACTTAGTTTATTCAAAGTTTGGTATATAAAATGTTCAATAAATAGATAGAGGAAAAAAGATGAAGTGGAAAAATTGTTATATATTGTTATTTATATATGGAAAAAAATTGTTTTATATTTAGTAGTTCATTTTGAAGAAATTCTTCTTACAGGAAATTATTAAACCTCAGTTAGGCCAAAATAATAAGTTTGAAATCATTTGAAATCAGGCAAAATCTTTTAAAATTCATTCAAATTTTTTTGGTCTAGTTGAAACAGTTAGATAATTTTTAGTATTTATAAATAATGAAGTGTCATCATTGCTGAATCACAGAAGCGAAGGATTCATTAACTATATTAGCTGCGGTGACAGTCAAGGTGATATGGTGAGTTTTTTTTTAATTGAATTTCTTGGGTGTGTTTACATGTATCATATTATTATATCTTATTCGAATTCATTTTAAGGCAGTGAAAATTCAAGTTGGCAATGAGATAACAGATTCAAATCCTCTTCCAGTTATTCTAGAAGCAACATTAAGAATTTGTTGTAGCATACCAAATCGAATTGTATTATCAATAATACGACAAAACGATGATTATAAATGCCCACATGATACGGTTGGTGTTTGACACAGTTGGTATTCATTTCATTCATACGTTAATTTGTGCATTTGCTTTTTTTTCACTAATAATATAATTCAGAACATTGTTCATATGGATGATGTGGCCATCATTTCATTGACAGCATTTGGACATTGTATTTCTGGTCCATCAATGGGAATAGATCGTCAATTCGTTTCCATTTCATCACTCACTGTTCATTGGAGTACTGCATCTTCAGATTTAGTTGTACTGGATGATCTTCCAGAGGTTCAAATGAAGAAAGAATGTTAGTTCATCTAAATACGAAAAAATACAATAATCCCAATTATTACTGAGAAATCTTCGACTGGAAATGGATTTTGAAAACAATAAAAATTTTCTTTGCAGTTTTCAAGAGGGTAATTGGCCAAGGACTTGAAGGAGTTGGCGAAGTAGTTGTTGAAGTGAAAAATTATTCACAATATGATCATGAATTGTCATTACCTATAATTCTCCGAAGTTCACTAAAAATTTTATTTACAAAATACGCACATATTGAGCCAAGGAAATTAACAATATGGAATGAAAAAACAGTATTCAAATCTGTTGATATTATTTCGGGATCAGGAATTTTTATAATTAAGCATTTTGATCGAAGCATTATTGATGCAAGTTTGGAAAAGAATGCAATAATGGTATATTTCTCAGTTATTTAAATAGAATTCGAATTAACCATTTGTTTTACCTGAAATTTTTTTAATACATTTCTTTTTCTTACCTCTGTTCATAGTTTTTTCTTAAATTTTTTAAATTTTTTTAAACTTTTCAAATCGCAAAAAAATTTAGATTCGAGCACTCGCAAATGGAACAACAGAATTAATTCTACAAGACTCTTGTATTGGCAATAGTTTTAGTGTGACGGTTATAGTCGCTGATATAGAGAAAATCATTATTCATTCACAAAATTATGTAAAATTTAGTTTAATATTCATTTAATATTAAAAATATTTAATAAAAAATCCTACCGTTATTTTATTATTTTTATTCAACTATTCTAAAGCAGCCACTTCCATAAAAATAAAATTTAAAATTATATAAAATTTAATATATGGAAAACTAATTTCCATTATACTGTTTAGGTGGAAGTGGATCATGAAACTAAAATGGAATTAACAATTATCAGTTCACAAGGAGATGCATTTTCATTTGATGATGCACTTTTCATGAGTATTGAAATTACCACGACATCAAATATTATTGATGTTATCAGGTGGTTTTTTTCGTTGTCTACCGAAAATTTTATTTATTAATTTTAATAGAGCAGCAAGCAGTTTTAATTCATTTCCAATTTTTATTTTTTATATTTTATATTTTTTATTATGAAATTTCAAACTTAGGATAACCGCAGTTAATTATATCTTACGCGGAAAAGTGGCTGGTTTGGTTTCACTGGTCGCGTCTGTACGAACAAGTATGGGTAAAACGATCTTTAGCGTACCTCATGAAATTCAAGTCTTTAATTCTCTTTTGTCTTTCCCAAAAATTATAACTTTGATTCCCGAGTCGACTTTTCAGGTACGTCCTTTATATATTCTTCCTTTGATTTTTATATAGCTGAAAAAATTATTTAATAAAGATTAGTTAAGATGGTTTTTAGCTATTTAAATTTCAAATTTATTTTGAAGTTAGAAGTCGTTGGAGGACCACAGCCAATGCCAGAACTAAATTTCCATGTGAACGACTCTTCTGTCGCATCCATATCTGAAAATGGCCTTATTACGAGCATTCAACGTGGAAACGCATCGATTCGCGTAGCATTATCTTCTGAATCCAGTTTGTCCAATGTATGTTTTTGTTTTATTCGTACCAGTTTTTCGTTTACATTTTTAAATTAAGTAATGGATATTACAGGATATTATTTATGTGAAAGTGGTCGCTCTCTCAGGAATACGTATTAGGCTATCTTCCTTTCGCATAGAAAGAGGTCAAATGGCTTGGGCGCGTGTAGACGGATTGATGGACGATGAAACTCCTTTTGCGTTCGGTGGAGCTGTTCATCCTTTGCATATAACATGGACTGTAATTGATGACGAAATCATTGAACTTTCTTCTCCTCTTGCGGTTCATTATTTCATTTTTTCTCATTTTATCACTTTATTTTTCTCTTTATTTTCCTTTTTTTTCCATTTTTCCTTCTCTTTATCTCTCTTTTATCTTTCTCAAAAATTGTAATTTTAATTAGCGAGTCGACTTTTCCGATTTCACCTTTGTTCGGAAATCAAAGTTACAATTTTCCGGAATGACAAAAGAGAATAGAATATTTAAAGGCCATAAAATTCTCTTTTCTTTGCAATTATTAAAAATTTTCATTTTTGGGAACTATATAGAACTGGTTTTACTTAAATTTACTTAAATCCATCATTTGCAATTAAATTTCTTGGTTTTTTTAGCATGGTCATTTTTTTTGCAGTTTTAAAAATATTTTTTCAGCCTTTTATCACCGAAGATTCGGAGAATCGCTTTCAAGTAGTGGTAAAAGGTATCAAACCTGGAACAACACAAATAAAGGTGTCTGTTAAACAGTCATCTCCATCAAAAATGCATTTCATTAAAGGTGACACTTATGAAGACCAAATTACGATTACTATATACGATTCGCCTAAAATCTCTGATCCTCTTATTATACAACAAAATATTCGCTTGGCATTAGGCTCTGAAGTTGTTCTTCGTTCAAATCGGTTGGTATATTAATTCATTTTATGAATTGCGAATACATTTTTCTTCTGTAATTGTTTTTGAGTTTTGAGAGTTGATATTTCTATAGTAGATTTAGTATATAACCTTTTATTTTAAGTGAATCGGATACAGTACAATTTATATTGCCACCTCAATATTCTTCACTTGCAATAAAGGAAAGGAAAGATGCATCGGTCACGCTTATTGCTCAAAGTCTTGGCGATGCAGTCCTTGAAATGAAGGAGATTGGAACAAATTATAATGAATCAACCTTTATTCCTGCTTCGGTTTATTTAGTTTTCCATTTTTATTTTTTTATTTTGTCGTTATTTTTTCTAAAAAATATTCACTGTTTTGAATTTTGCTAGCTCCTTAGATTACTAGGAGATCATTTGGTGGAATGAAATTTATATAATTTCCATAAACATACGTAACATAATTTCCAGCTATATTTGGGTTTCGCTTTGTTTTAAGGGTGTATCGCACTCACGATACTTGTTATCAGTTGAAATAGCACTATATTACTCCAACACTATATCGGATATTTTAATATATTCAGAGAAATATAGTTGAATAAAGCAACATTGTAATGAAAGTCATACAAAGATTATATCATTTGTTCTCCAAAATTGAAGGTGCTTAATGTTCATTCGATTCATTTGGCGATGGAACCGTCATTTAAAAACTCATTGAATGATCAATATATGTCGGCGTTACCTCTGGGCTATCGTTTACCTTTGAGAGTTTCGTATAAAGATTATGGTGGTCATGATCTTTATGCATCGAACATGAATATCCGTTTTCGGCCTCATCGGTAAGTTTCTGCAGTTTTTGATTTTAAAATAACCATGCATTTTATTGGTTTCGATTTAAATGTCAATTTCGATCCATTTGCTAAGATTTTTTCTCAAAAAATTAATTCAATTTTGGATTACGTTTTGGTAAAATATGTAATATCAATTCAAAATTTAAATTGTTTATATTTAAGTTCCATTCGTTAGAACGGACCTGACGTCCGCTTTTTTTTGCTTAGTCAGGATTATTATGCATTCAAAAACTGAAGTAGAACAAGAGTTACCCGGTATTGAATTAGACCATTTAATCATTCTAAATTATTCTGTCGAACAGTATGCAAATTATTCTGTCGAACAGTTTGCGATTGAATGTATGCAATAAATTGTGTGAATGATTTCTATTTGAAAAACTTAGCTTCAGAGTGCAACATATTTTGGATGGCGAATATTCGCAATACATTGTCCACCAAATAGATATACACTAATCGCTTACAAATGTCATCTGAGAATCGAATTCGCAAATTAGGAACTGAAATTTATGCGAAAAATTTTAGTCATCATTCTTTTTGTTTTCCATTCTTTTATTTTAATACATATCTTTAAATTTTTAGTTTCGATCTCACGGAAATAACTGCTAAAAATAATGGAAAGGACCTGGAAATTACGCTGAGACAACCTGGTGTAACGGTATTGAAGGTAAACTTTAATTATATAATTATTAATTATAATTAATGGCTTTTTAAAAATTTTTGTTGAATTGCTTTAAAGGGAAGTTTGAAAAAGAACTTGACTTACTGTATAAATTTTTCCATATTTCTTTTTTTTGCTTAAGTTAATTTCCTGTTTGAATAATCTATTTGAATAATCAAAAATTAAGCCCTTTTAATTAAATTGCTTCAAGAATTGCATCTCATTTATCCATCCAATTCATCCATCTATTCATCTAAGATCTGATGCACGTCTAAAGCGCTTTAAGGTATGGGATAGTGATAATGAGCATATAAGCACATTCTTACGAATAATCTCTGTTAATGCCATCACACCTAAAATCGAACGCCTATTTGAATCTGATATTATTTGCTTTCGATCTCCTTTATCATCAAATAAATGGTTGGAAGTTGGTACTCAGCATTTCGAATTTGTTGAAGCATCATCTGGAATAGCTGTGGCTCGAATCGTTGGTAATTCGGTCATTGCTTCCTATGATTCAAATGACCAAAGAATTTTTACCAAGGTATGATTTTTATAAACCTTACCAAAACTTTTACCTTACCAAAGAAGTTTTGTGGAGAAGTAAATCATATAGCAAACAATTACAGATTTCTGTTGTCGCACCTGGTGCTATATTTCTTGAATCTCCTTTATATATAACAAATGTTGCTGGTCGTCGTTTTTTTTTCCCCGTTTCTTTCGGAGTTGACGCAAACTTACCAAATGTACACGGTGAGAATTATAGAAAATTGCTATCTTATTTTTATCTCCTAATTTCCATATAATTTTTTATGTATTTAATTTTCTTTTATAGGTTGTAATCCAGACGATTTGCTGAAGTTAGATCACGTTCCTGCGCCTTTTAATTGTATTGCCACATTATATGGGGAAAATTCTCTTCCTTTGGCTAAAATATTTTCTGCAGTCGGGTTATTCGTGGCCGAAATAGGTTTTTTTGAATTTTCAGTTTTTTTTGAATTTTCAGTTTTTTTTTGAATTTTGAATATCAGTTTTTTTTGTTGAAAATTTAGCGGATGATTTTATATATAATAGCGGAAAATTTTTTTAATGAAATAGTTTTATTTTGGAGCAAAGTTTGGCCTTTACTTTTAATTTCTGTCATAAGTTATCGAAAATTGTTCAAATTGACATCTTAGTATTCTTTCCACAAATTAAAATCTTCGATAGCGACGTTGTAATTTGAGAGTTATTACTTTTCCACATTAAAAAATTCAAAAAAAACTGAATTTCTTAATTTTAAGGTTCTTATGCATGTGTTCTTGAAGAGCATGATTTCACAGACGATTCTCACAAATTTGTTAACGAAAGTTCAATGAAAATTGTTGTTAATGCTATTTGGAATCGAGCAGGAAAGGTTAATAAATTCTCTTTTTTTTCAAATTTCCTATAACATTTTGGATTTTTAGTTCTTTCAAATTATTGAACTATTTTATAAAAAATACAATATTATATTTTTTTTTTGAAAATGTTTCGATTAACAAATTTTCTAGTTTACTTATTTGAAGGATTTATCAGGGAGTACTGAAACTATTTTTTATCCACGATTCGTCGTCCTTCAAAATGAAATTCGATTGGATAATCTACATTTGCTTAAAGATGTCCTTACAGCGATTGTTTCACCTGAATTGAAATCATATATTCAAGTTGAAAGTTGTCATCCTAGTATTCTTACTATAAATAGGATGAAGTCGCCTTCGATAGCAACTTTGCAATTTGAGATTAAGGTTTTTCAAGGCTTTTCTCCTTTTTTCATTTTGTTTTATTTGTCTTTTTTTTTGAAAATTTTTATCTGATAATTATTCATTAATTTTTGATAAAAATAAATTTTTTGCAGTTGAATGTAAATTCTGCTGTACTGTGGGCAGAAATTTTGGATAAATGTAATTTGACGATTGTGAATACATTAACGGATCAAATAGAAACATTGCCTGTGAATATAGTGCTACGTGGTAATCTGTCCAAGGCTACTAGATCTAGTAAGAGAAAATTCACTCTTATTCATTATTTTTATAAAATTTTATTTCTTCAATCTCTTATGCATTATTTTCATACTTTTGCCTCTAATAGCTTGAAAATCTTTTTTATGTCTTGAGCGTCTTTGGTAGATTGGTAATGCTTGTGGACTTCTTTTTAGAAAGTTTTAAATGCATTAAATAAAAAAAAATACTTAGGTTAAAATGCAAAAGCGTATGCTACACAAATATTTATGATTTCGATTGGTTACAAGTCGAAATAACAGTTATTGCTAATTGCTCTTTAGCTTATTGAAAAGAATTGTCTCATTTAGCTAAACATTTTAAAGTTTATAGTTATGTGAAATATTAGAAAAATATTAGAAAATTATGTTTTTGAACATAAAGTAAGGTATATTCACAACAAAGCCAGAAGAAATATTCAGAAACTAATAATTGTATCTTCTTCATCTTTTTATCCCTTGTTTTTGCCTTTAGAATCTGAAAAAATCTGTTTTTAGCATTTAGCACAAAATATTTTGAAAAATTCTTTTAAAAAATTTTTGAATGAAATGAATTTTTGACCTAGTTTCTATATTTAGGTGTTCTCGATTATATCACAGATTTTGTGGACTTATCAGTTATTTATGCCGTTATTATCATCGCTTTTACAATGTTACTTTTTTTCTTAGGTATGCTCTCAACAATTTCATGAAATTGAAGTATTATTTAGATAATTCTTAGATTTGAATTATAGAATTTTTTAATATAGTGTACTTTGCTTTGAGTGAAATTGATTTCAGCTTGTTGGAAAAATCATCTTCTTTCGTTTTATCTATTCGGTTCTTCGCATGAGGCGCATCCTGCTTCCTATTCTGCTTTCGCCAATGGTCATTCATCTTTGAAACTGAGTAAAATATTTTTAATATTTGATATTAAAGTTTTCATTATTTGATTATTAAGTTTTTTTGTGCTATTCAGAGATTTTTTAATTTATTTCTTAAATTTTGCGATATACAGGTGATCATTGGCTTTCAATGAATAAGACATCTTCGTTTTCGAATAATAAACGAATCCAGCTTTCTGATACATCGAATCGATTTTCTACATCGAATGCATCAACAAATTCATCTCCAAGTGCGCAAGATAATAGTCAAACTTTCTTATTTAGCACCTCTGATGCCTTAAATGATCCTTACGATATACGATATCGTCGTCATTAATAGCAATATGAATTCATTGTTGGTTTTAATTTTTTTCTTATTAAAATTCTTATACAGGTTTTGTTGCGTTATTTTTGTTATTATGAGATTATTATTATGATATTAATGAGATTTTATTTATTTTTTTAGTTTTTCAATTTCTCAATTTTTTTTTCTTTCGTAGATATTTAATGACATTCTCCAATTATATATAATTGAATAATTCATTAGACGACACATCATATTAAGAATTAAAATTGATTACTAGCGAATGAATGGCAGAAATGATGAGTATTAGTAATAAAATATTCCGTTTATATTTATTTTAAAATAAAAAATGCAAAAAAAGGAAGAGAAAAGCAGATTTCAGAAATATATTCATAAATAATCAGTGCAATAAAAAAAAAATAAAAAATCTTTATGAAAATTAAACAATAAAAAATTAAGACGAATAAGGGAAAGAGCATGGAAGATTGAATTTTTGTTCTAATAATAACGTGGGGGAGTTGATAATGCGTGAGTTCCGTTTTTGCGAAAATGAAGTGGCAAATCGAAATTCGAGTAACAAATAAATCTTTTAGTAGTAATAAAATTAATTTAATTTTCAAAATTGTTAAAAGTAAAAATTTATTAAAAGAGGAAATTGAAAAAAACTCCTATACCTTCGATTAAAAGCGGCATCCATATAGCTGCTGGAGGGTCTACTTCTACAAGTTTCCCCAAGAGGATCACCAAGTGTCGATAAATTTTTTTTACGCTGATAAGGCAAAACAAAAGCCAAAAATGGTGCGTTTCTATTTGAAAAAGAAGAGGAAAAACTGAAATATTTTCTCAAAATTTCTTCCATATTTGTTTTTTAAAAATATTTTATTTATTTTTAAAAATATCTGTTTTTCAAAATAGAATACATAAATCTCTTCACGTAAATTTTAATTTGCTTTATTTATATCAAATTTCTTTTTTTTTTTTTTTAAATAATGATAATAGATTGTAGGAAAGCAATGCATCATAAAGCAAATAACATCGCTTGCTTGCTAGTAATAAAGGAACAATGACAAGTACGGTACTGCTAAATCATATTTATATATGCCTCTGGGCAATAGAAATAGATGAGATAAATTATTAAGCTCGGCGTGAAATATTATTTCTAACTTTTTCAGAAAGAAAAAATTTTTTGATTATTCAAATATTTATCGTCGATTTAAGCGAATTTCTTCGAAACGAACAAATAGGCGCTAATTGAGAGAAATATTAATAAAAATAAGGTCATCAAATAATCGAATAGTAATAAAATGAAGTGATAAGTGATTTAGCGAATATCTTTTTAACTGAAATCCTCTAAAAAAGTGCAAGTGCGAATTTTTTTACTCCATTATTATTCCAAACTTATTGTCGCATTGTCACATTATTAGTCAATCTTTTATTCAACTAATGCATTATTCATTTGAATGAATTGGTGTTGAAAAATGGTGTTTAAAAAATTTTTTCAAAAAAATTATTTTTATCAGTAAACAATTATTATTTTCGTTTTTTATACAACTTCCGCCGCTATATTTCGGATTTTTGCTAATTCCATTAGCTATTAGAATTAGCAATAAATTAAAAAATTTCTCACCGCTATTCGTGAATTTAAGCCCCTTAAGTAAGTCCCTATAGATAATTAGCTGTGATTTTTCGGAGCTTTTCGATTCGATTAGCTTTTTCCTTTAATAAGAAAAAAATTGGTTGAATTTTTTTTTTTTTTTTTCATGAGAATGAGAATTAAATAGACGAGTGAAAAATGTAGTTCAATGCCAATTTATAAGAATTTATGAATTTTGAAAAAAGTTTAGAAATAACTATTTTAAATTTTGTTTTTTTCTAATCTTTTTTCGTTTCATAATTTAGCTGATGAATTTTTATAGTTCGTCATTAGCTTTCATATATTTTGGCATAAGGTAAAAGCTGGGAAACACCCTACAAATATTTTATTTTTATTGTAATGAAGAAATGCAAGAAAAAAATTCAGATAAAGAGCACACATAGGAAAGGATAGAATGGTTCGATCAGTTATTGGTCGTATTTATTTGGGAAAATTAAAGATCCATACCTGGTTGAAGTAAACTCTTCCGAAAGTCCGGCCGATGTTCACTACCCACTCATATTCACTATATCTGATTGCTCCCTACCAAAATTATTTGCGGTAACAGAGCAAATCTAATTAGAAATGTGAGCGTTCTCAGGAAAAAAGAAATAAAATTCGCCATTAAAAATTATAATTTGAAAATTATAATTTGATAATTTGGTTATCCAATGCGATTTACAAAAAATTCACTAATTTTAATTTATATATTTTATTTAACTAATATTTAAATTAAAAAATAAATTAAAATTTATTTAAAAATTTATTTATTAACACTAATCAATTTTCGTCAGTCATCGCTCCCAAAAAAATAAAAAAATAAATTAAAATATTACATTTCAAAGCAGTTAAATGATGAAAATAAAAATTTTTTAATTTAATGGTGAACTTTAGGGGCTAAAAAAATTTAAATTTCGAAAATTCAAGTGCAAAATTCAAATCAAAAGTCTTCATTAAAGTCTCAATCCATTGTTATCCGGAAAATTCTTAATCATATTTAAGATAAGAAATTTTTCAAGAATAAAAGCATAAATGGTTAATGGAGAATATTTAACAGTACAAATAATTCCAATTCTGACTATCATTGAAGTATTATCTATTATCATCCTGAAGGATTTCTTTTTCTGTCGGCAATACCTTTGCCATATTTACTAAGTGCATTCTCATCTAAAGGGAAAATTGAGCAGCTACTATGTGGCCATATGTATTCATCAGTTGATCCTCAAGCAAAAAGTTTTTAATCCAGCAATTAAACTAAAAAATTATCGGTTACGAGGAAGACTATACGACTCGTCGTTTTATTTTTCAACCGCAGAGTATATTTGCGATCGTCATTTCTCTTCCGCTATTCATTTCATCTATTCAGACTATTCATTTCTCTCCTTTTAGTCCTTTCTACGACTTATATCTCATATCGCAAAAATTTAGCTGACACTTATCACCCATTATTTTTTTATTACACGATCGTTCTAACATAAATAAGTTTTTATCGCTCCTCAGTAAATTGAAAGCTTTACTAAGGAACTAACTCATCCTTATAATTTCACTGATTTTTTGATAAAGTTGAATAATATTTCGAAATAAAAACCTAAAATTCGATATTAAATCTTCATTTTCTATTCTGCTCCTTATTCAAAGAATTTTTTTTCAGCATTCTTTTTTTCAATCATTAATAAAAAATGGATTCGGGAATTGAATCATATCCGTCATTCATTTTCATTCATCAGAAATAGCTATGAGTGAGTAGTGGTTCAGACTATCGTTTTGACAGGTAAAAATCCAGCTTCCCATAAAAACAAAATTATTAAATTAAGAAATCTAAGTGATTCTAGCGAATTACTTTTATTGCCAAGTATGTAATCTGGTGAAAAATAATTTTCTCGCCACACCAATAGCCAGTGGAGCTTACTAGATCGGAATTGGTGCGCGCTAAGCATTAACTCTTATTTTCAGTTACTTATTCATTTTCTTTGAATTCATTTGCAATTCATTTCTTTTGTATCTTAAGTGTTGCATAAAAATTTATGAAAATATCCAGGAAATCGATTTTGAATTTTTCCTTTCTTCGCTAAGAAAATATTTCCTTGAAATTTAAGGGGTTTTTTTGCTATAATTATTGCTTTAGAATATTCTCAGTTATCTTTTTCATTTTTCCACTTTCATCAATTTCATTTTAATTTATTCCAATTCTTATCGAATGTTTCTTTGATTGACAGCCGTAAATTTTTTTCTAATCGTTATACGAATTAAAATTCAATTTAAAAAAAAAAACAACTTTTTTAGTCATTGTCCAGAATTTTCTGATATCATTCTTAATTTATTATTCAATTTTATTCTTTAGCAATGACATGCATATTTATATGATCTGAATGAAAAAAAGGAACCAAAATTAGAATATGGACTTTTCATGATCTCTTCATCTCGGTTTCTGGATTTCTTGATTTTTTCGTCCGGAAAGAAGGTTATGCACAAGAGAACTTGAAAATGATGACTGTTAATTTATTCTTCTTCTTCTAATAGTAGTGGTTAGGGCTGGCTGTACTGGCTGCACAGGCAAGACGTCTCCAAGCTGCTCGGTCCAACGCCATCGCTAGTAGTAATAAAAACCATTCCTTTTTCCATCGTCTAAGTCCATATATTGCTGGTCCATCTATACGTTCAAAATCTTTTCTGACCATATCACCCCAACTTTTGATTGGTCCACCTCGTTTTTGACGCCAACCATAATAAGGTTTAGCAAGTAACGAAATATATGTCAACTCCTGTGTTGGACGACGAAGAACGTTCCCTAACCAGCGAAGACGACGCTCTGAGATAACATTATTAATACAGATGGTAATGAGCGAAGATGAATACAATTATGTGCGATTTTATCCGCTACGGATCCGTAAAATGTACCTTAGACATGAGTTATCAAAGGCTAATAGCTTTTTGATATCTTCCACTCTCATTGGCCATATTTTCTAGCCATATAGCAAGATCGAACGAATTGCACTTATATGGACTTATAGCATTTCGTATATAAGACGGAATACTTTCGTTTTATTTACATTGATTTTGAGTCCAATATTCGCAGTTCTTAACACATTGTTTAATATTATTTGTATTTTCTCATAACTACATCAGTTAAAAACAATATCACTACATCTTCAGCATATTCAAGGTCTGTGATGCTATGCTCAATGCGTTTTTACAGTCGACTTTAAAGAACACCATAAAAACGAAAGGATTCGTTCATCCTTGCTATATGACTGCGGAACATGGCCAATGAGAGTGGAAGAAGCTATCAGCCTTTGACCACTCATATGTAAGATATATTTTATGGATTCGTCGAGCGGATAAAATCGCATATGATTGTATCCACCTTCGCTCAACTACAACTTGTATTAATATGTTATCA